AAAGTGTAAATGAGAACAACAAAGGATTCGGAAGGTGTGAGAGAAACAGGATCTTGATCAAAGATCTCGGAGTTAAGTGGATAAGCAGGTTTACTGCCAATGAGTCATCTGCAGCAAATGATTGAGCGTTGCACAATTGACCGGATTTTACAGATGTAGTACTGTATTCTGCAATAAACCTCTTTCAGCCATCAAAAGATAGGACCTTGCAGTGGTGGTTAAGATACTCATGGGGTTGAGAAAATAAATATGTGAGCAGGACTTTCAGTTATGTCCAGACAACAGGACAAGAGGGCACAGGTTCAGGGAGAGTGAAGGGGTAAGTTTAGGATGAAAACCAGGAAGTATTTCTTTGCACAGTGGGGCAACACAGGTTACGAGGAAGATTATCCGTAGTTGTGGGCACCAACTGTGACGCGTTGGGTGTGCTACCTCAGTTATTTTTGTATATGAGGTTCATTCAACTGGGCAGAGTTAAGATGGGTAAAGAACGCATGCTCTGGGACACTTCTACTCTCCGCCCATTTGCTGCTGCCTACCCTCATTACCAGGAGCCAAATCAATGGCAAATGAGAAAGAATAAAATAATTATTTAAGTGTCGTTCCTCGCCGAGGGACTAAGATATTGTATTGCGGTGGACTTAATGATTCAAGGAACATAGCCTCCCGAGACTGCCTGCGTGTCTGTGTCTTTTTGTAGCCTGTGTAATCCATTGCAATATTTATGCAGGAGCCTGACTTTACAATGTTAACCTGAAAAACGAGATGCTAAAAATGTTACGGGGCACCTGATAAGGAGAGTGGCTCGCCTAGCGTTTCTGCTAATGAGGACTCTATACCGTGCTGGTGTACGTCAGAGATTGGCTTCTCAGAGTGTGGGTCAGGGTCTTGTTAAAGGGAAGGCGCTTGATTTGGTTTCTCAAATAACAAAGGCATTCTGCGCGACCTCCCAAAATCGTAAGACGATATGGCCTCACGGGGCTGAGACTAGGTGGAATTTCAGACTTCCGGTCTCTGTGATGCTGCCACCTTATAATTGCTGACGAGCCCTGGACACGATGAGATAAGATCCATGCATACAAACAGATGGCAAGCAGCGACAGAAGCACAAAGGTACACAGGCATGATGATAAGAAAATAGCAATATAACAATTCTTGCATTTGAGATAGCAGCTTATCACATTGGTCGAGACTCAAGCGAGTCTCAAAGCGTTTCCCAGAATATGCTGTAAAGTGGCTTGACTGTGTATTTTGTGGACGAAACACGGCAGCCAATTATTGCACACATCAATGTCCCACAAACAGTTGTGGATTGAGTGACCACATTTTTTTCTCTGGTGGGATTATTACCCCCAGAAAGCTACCCACCAATCAACGAACAACCGTGTTTCCACTTATTGCTCGGCAAACAAAGGTTTGTGGAGTAAGGAAACTTGCCTAAGGTTTCGCCCTGCCCAGGAATCAAACCCGGGTCCTCTCTCTTGCGATGCGAGCGCGCTAACCACTATGCTACGCGGTGTTCCAGTCTGTGCGATATGATATAGTTCTCTAAAAGCAGTATTTGGTCTCTGAACCACCGTTTTACTGCTTCGCTCGCACTTTTGGTCATCTTCGAACACCACCAGTCCCTTCTCTTCAGCTCCCCCCACCCCAGATTGGACACGTAAGGCACTATATAAATGTCAATTGTTTTTTTATATCAGAGGAGCTCCCTGGATGTAGTTTTCAAGACATTGACAAACAGAAAGTTAGTGAATTTCTTATTAAATACGCAATCAAATAACCGTTCGGAAGCTTGTGATCTCTTCTCCTGCGGATTCGTGTCCGTTCCAACCCAACTTGGCAGCGGCCAAAAAAAAAGTTTTAAGGGACTTGTCTTTAAATGTCATCAATGTCACAAGAGGACTGCAGCACGGTTGTGGTGGGAGGGGAGGTTAACATTTCCTACGCTCTTTATTTATTTACAACGACCCTTCATAAGAAAGTGAGAGCGGAAAATTGCTCTTCTGAAATGCTGCTAATTATGGAGGTGGCAGTTTCCAACGGCTAAGCTTGGCCGTTACTAGCCTAGAAAAACTGCAGCTTGCACAAAGGGAAGAAAACAAGGTGTGCCCCAGCTTGTAATTGTTTTTATGTCTCGTCTAATTATAAAAAACGTTCATCACCAAGATTGTTATTGCCCTTTCTGACAGCCTTGGTTGATTGAATAATAAATGTTTGCCAGAAATAGGACAAGAGTCACGGATGCAGTAATAATCCTTGCAATTGATACAGCACCTTATCTCGTCATCGAAAACACTCAACACGCTTCACAGGATTTACTGTAAAGTGTAGTGACTTTCTCGGTGAACACAACAGCCAAATTGCACTATTTATTTATACTGAGAATCACTGACTGTTACTGTACTTTTTCTAAATAGAATATCTCCTGTCACCCACTGTTAACTAACGCAAATGTCTTCATGGTCATTAATAAAAAGAGGTTGGGGTGGGAGCGGGTGTGCGTGAGGAGCAGCCGGGGGAGAGGGGAAGGGTGAGGGAAGGAGGAATAGTGGTGATGGGGGGGTGGGGGGAAGGGGTCAGGCACAGCAAAGTAATATGGCGTCAGCACTGACCTAATTGTAATCACGCAAACTAATTAAAAACACAGTGGAACCCCTCAATGGATTTGTAGACAATTACATTCTACACCAGGGAGAGAAAACCTGGAATCCAACATTCAAATGATGTTTGTATATCTAAATCCTTCCATTATATTCCTACCTCAGTATTGCTCCCAGGCAAACATTACATTGGGTATGAACCATCTGCACTTTTTGATTAAACTCCAGCCTTCTCACTCATTCCCTTGTGTCCATTATTCCCAATGCAACCTCAACTTGTTGATGAGATTACTGTCTTGAAAACACACCCCAGGATGGCTTATTCAGTCTGCAATTTTAGGTGATGGAAATCGGCAGTTATTATAATACTAATGATAATCCTTGCATTTTAAATAGGGACTTTCATGTGGAGAGGACATCTCAAAGCATTTCACAGGATTCACTGTAAAGTGGAGTGACTGTGTATTTGTAGTCAAATGCGGCAGCCAATTTTTGGACATAGCAACATCCCACTAACAACCATGAAGTGAATGACCAATGCTATTTTTGGGAGATTGTTGGTCAGGATACTGGGAGAAACTCCCTTCTTTTTTTTTGAACAGTGCCACGTTGGGCCGAGTAGCCTGTTTCCGTGCTCTACGTTCTTTGTAATCTTTTTAATATCCACCTGAACAGGCAAACGGGACCTCATTTTAACATCACAACTGAAGGACGGAGCCTCCAACAATGAAGTGCACCCCTAGCACTGCATTGGAGCATCAGAAACAGACTGCGTGGCTGGAAATTTTTTACAACCTTCTGACTCAAGAGATGAGAGTGCGAACAACTGAACCGGGCTGGCGCAAAGGAAAGAAAGAAAACTAGAAGTGCTTTTCGAGTGATTTTGCAGGAAGTTATTCCACTATTAAACAAAGTTAAATCTAAATAAATAATAATTTGGTCACTCAATCCATGACTCTGCGTGGGATCGGCTGCCGCGTTTCGCCCACAAAAGCACACGGTCAATCCACTTGACAGCGTGTTCTGTGAGGCGCTTCTTCGAGACGTCTCAACGACCTGATTAGGCGCTGTATCAAATGCAAGGATCATTACGACGATGACGGCCGGTCGTTCCGAACGTAAAGTAATCGGCAGGGCTCTCGGTTTTCACATTGAGAACGTTTTTTCTCTCTCGCCCTGACTCCATCCCCCCCAGCCCGGCACGGCACGGCACAGGCGCAGGCGCAGCAAGCAAAGTGAAATATTATTACTATTGTTGTTGTTGTTTTGATATTATAAGTGCAGGACAGAACCTATTATATTCGCCCACAAATATACAGTCAACTCACTTTACAGTGCGTTCTGTGAAGCGCTTTGGGACGTCCTCCCGACGTGAAAAGCGCTGTATCAAATGCGAGGATTATTATTATTGTTATTATTATTTGCTGTAATTCGCATTACACGCACGCACAGGTGAAGCTCAGCGGTGCACCTGCGCGAGGTGAACGCTGCCAGCCAGGCTCCTGCAGCAGCAATGGATCAACAGTGCAAGGACAGGGGGTGGTAGGTGAGTGATTAATAGGGTCACATCCTTGCGGATAAGGATGCATTCGCTGCCCCTTTAAACACGTCCTACGAGTGCGGAAGTAGTGCGCACCTGTCACTCACTCACTCACTCCGCCCCCCCCTCCTCCTCGCCCCACCCACCCTCCACACGTCATTGCGCTCTCACCTGAACTTGACTGCGACTGTGACGTCCGTCAGCCCCGAGGCGGACCAATAGGGAGCGGGCGCCGCGCGCTGCGATTGGTCGGTCGGTGCGCGCGACGTCACAAGGGCCCCGCCCTGGTTAGCAGGGTAGGGTGCGCTCCCTCCCCTCCCCCCCCCCCTTCGCTCCCGGGGTCCCATTCATCGGTTCAGGCTCAGCGGAGTCAGTCACGTCAAGTCAGGCAGTCAGTCAGTCAGTCAGTCAGCGCGGGGCGGACGGGTCGGGTCGGGCGGCGACGAGAAGGAAAATTTCCTCCTTCCCTCTCGTCTACGCGTGCGCGGCGCCAGTAAATCCCGCGGAGGCGGTCGGCTCGGAGGGGGAAGAGCGGCGCGGTCGGGCGGGGGCGAAATACACGAGACAATTCTAACGGTCGCGGCGGCGGTTGGAGGCCGCGGGCGGTGTGAGTGAGTGAGTGCGGGCGAGAGAGAGAGAGAGAGGGAGGGAGGGTCGGTCGGTTTCCCCCCCCCTCTCCCTTCCTCACCTCCTCCGTCCTGGTGGGTGACGAGCGGGCGCCGGGTGCCGGGCGATGCCCACCTGCCGGGAGGCGGCCGAGTCTCCGTGAAGAGCCGGGGCCTCGAGCCCGACCCCCCCCGCCCCCTCGCTCCGCCGGCCTCCCCCGGGCCCTGTCTGTCCCTGAGGGGCTCGGGCTGTCCCTCTCTCCTCTCCCCCCCTCTCTCCCCTCTCCCCCCTCACACGCGAGGTCCCGGGATGATGTTCGGGAACAGCCGGCGGGGAGGCCGCGTCCCCTCCTTCCTGGCCGTCGGCCTCCTGCTGCTGATCGGCGTCTTGAGCTTCAACTACTGGGTCATCTCCGCCAAACACAGCAGCCTCCAGCAGGAGCTGGCCGAGCTGCACACCCAGGTACACACTCACACTCACACACACTCACAGGTACACACTCACACACACACAGGTACACACTCACACACAGGTACACACTCACACACTCACACACACCCAGGTACACACTCACACACACACAGGTACACACACACTCACACACACACACACAGGTACACACTCACACACACACACACACACACACAGGTACACACACACACACACACACACTCACAGGTACACACTCACACACACACACACACTCACAGGTACACACTCACACACACAGGTACACACTCACACACACACACACACACTCACAGGTACACACTCACACACACACACACACACACTCACAGGTACACACTCACACACACACACACTCACAGGTACACACTCACACACACACACACAAGTACACACTCACACACACAGGTGCACACACACACACACACACAGGTACACACTCACACACACACACACACAGGTACACACACACACACACACACACACAGGGCTATACACACACACACACACACAGGGCTGTACACACACACAGGGCTGTACACACACACGCACACACAGGGCTGTGCTGTACACACACGCACACAGGGCTGTGCTGTACACACACACACACAGGGCTGTACTGTACACACACACACACACACAGGGCTGTACTGTACACACACACACACACGGCTGTACTGTACACACACAGGGCTGTACTGTACACACACACACAGGGCTATATGTACTGTAGGCTATATGTACTGTACACACGCAGGGCTGTACTGTACACACACACACAGGGCTGCGCTGTAAACACAGGGCTACACTGTATGTCAGAGAGAAGGTATACTGTACATGTACAAACACAGGACTACTGTATGTCAGAGAGAGGGTATACTCTGCATGTACACACAGGTGTATACTGCATGTCAGAGAGAAAATATAATGTATGTGTACACCACATACACACAGGGTATATTGTACATCAGATAGAGGATATATTATACATGTTAACACACAGAGTATACTGTATGCCAGAGAGAGGTATACTGTACATGTACACACATGTTCTCACAGGGCATACTGTACATCAGAACCAGAGGATGCTGTACATGTACACACAGGGTATAGTGTACATCAGCAAAAAGGATAATACTATATGCACACTGGTATACTGTTCATGTACATAGCAAGAGAAGGTATACTGTACATGCACACATAGCGAGGCAGACTACTCTAGACATGCACAGCAAGCAAGGGTGTACAGTTCATAGGGGCTATACTGTACAGTGAGGGTATACTGTATATACACAGAGAGAAACTTATCAGAGATACCGACCGTCAGATATGATATTAAATCGAGATCACGTCTGGTGTTCAGGTGGATGTTAAGGATCCCAAGACACAAATACGGCCCAACCAGTTCGTGCCGATGTTTATAAACCATACGATTCTTTACCCACTCCTTTCTCGCTTCCCCCACCGTTCTATTCCCCTCTCCCTCATGTGTGTAACTTTCGTAAGTACATCTATACTATCTGCATTTACAAGGAAATTGGAAAAATATTTCAGTTCTGTGGACGTCCTCTTGACTTGAAAGGTTCTATATAAATGTAAATTTGTATTCAGCATTGTAAGTTCTGGCATTAGAGCAGAGGGGAGCTTGCAGAAGCACAGGTGTTTCAACCAAATGGCCTCCTTCTGTGCTGCATGCACAGAATATAATTGTTTTTCAGAGCTCCTGACAATCTAGCATCTTGCCATCAATATGTTGCAGTTCAAATACTGTGTATTGTTGTGTGGAGAATTCTGTATTTTTGATATTTCAGCAGAGCTTCAATATGTATACTTTTATTTTTTTGCCACTCAAAATCTTCATACGAGATGGAAGTATAGGACACTTAACAAGCACTTATAGGTCAGAACTTCCAAGAGAAAAAATAACCCACTATGTGTGAGACCTGAAATACATTCAGACAGCCCAAAATAATAGGTTTCTTTGCATTGAAACCTTAGGCAAGTTTCCTTACTCCACACACACGCCTCTGTTTACCTAGCAGTAAGTAGGAAACTCTTGTTAGTCGATTGGCGGATGGCTTTCCAGGGGTAATAATCCATCCAACAAGACAATAAAAATAATAAAAATATGCAATCCACGACTGTTTGTGGGATACTGCTGTGCTCAATTGGCTGCTGAGCTTCGCCCACAAATTACACAGTCAATTCACTTTATAATATATTTTTTTGAAGCGCTTTGAGACTTCTCAACCTCGTGGTAAGACGTTTTACCAAATGCAAGGGTTATTATTGAACACAGAAGACCTAATCGGTTACATGTGTTTTTCTTTGCTCAGCCAGGCTGCGTGATGCATGCACAAACTCATCATGGTGCTCGAAGGCCTTATCACCACCCGTTAGGGCTTTGGCTTGCAGGCTTAACAACAACAACAAAAAAATTATATTTGTATAGCGCCTTTCACAGGAGCTGAGTGGGAAGAACCCTGCTCCCATTTTGGTACTCCCAAGCCCTGCCAATGAGCCAGGCTGGGTGTTCTGTCATCAGCCAGTTCAGCTCCAAGGAGACCCAGCTGACTCCCCCCCCCCCCCCCCCCCCCCCCCCACAAGGAGGATAGTTACTAGTTGATCATTTGATATCAGACAAGTGCAGGTTTGAGCTGTCGTTGTTCGGGTGATGGCAAATAATAATAATAATCCTTGCATTTGATATCGCGTCTTATCACGTTGTTGAGACGTCTCAAAGCTCTTCACAAAATATACTGTAAATTAACTGGGGCGAATCATACCAGGAACTTCCTGCAAGGTTCCTGGTGAGCAGCAAAGCTCAGCATGAAATGCGTGAGGGGGTTGGCCTAAGTCATTGTGCATTGACAGTTCACGTCCTTTTTTGTTGCGCAACAGATTTTGTAAGCCTTCCTTTATGGTTTGCATACCCTGCCCTGCAACTTTATCATTCATGTATTTGAATTCAATTCAAATGAAGCCCGCAATATTTGTCTACTTGACAGTTGCACTGTTGTCCTTTGATCAAGCATATTAGTTCTGTGTTAGCTGACTGCCACGTTTGCACCGATGGTTTCTGGACAAGCTTGGCAAAGCCTTCAGCTGCATGGTTCCTAGACAGGGCCACCACATTACGACAGGTCAGTTTTCTGCACTGGATGGAGATGTTTTTGTGGTTTGGAATGATGGGCGTTTTCCTCCCCAAAATATGCAACCTCTCCACTTTATAATGTATCCTTTGAGACGCCTCAATGACGTGATAAGGTGCTTTATCAAATGCAAGGATCAATATTATTATTATGCTCAATTTCTGCTCAGTAACCACATTTTCAGCCCTCTCTAGAACTGCTTCCCCAAATCCCTTCACCTTCCACCCTCTCTCCCTGATTTGCAAACACTCCTGATACCTATACTTTGACTACGCTTTCGGTCACCTTCCTACTTTCACTCCCTCCTCTTCACACCTCGGTGATTCACACCATTCCTATAAAGCACATTGAAGCATTTTCCAACGTGGAAAGTGCTGTATAAGTGCAGGTTCTCTGGTTAGTTGCTGAGCAGGTTCAGGATTCTGACATAGTACAAACCGCTGCTCCGCAGTTTCAACAAGTACATCATAATCTTATTAATGTAGGAATTTTTAGTGCGAGATTAATTTGTTAGCACAGGTGCTGAGATTACACAATGTATTATTCTTCCCTGATCGGTTTATAGCTACATTTCACCACGGCATCTGTGGAGTAATATGAAGAGATGTCGAAAGGAGTTGGAAGAGAGAAAGGTCAGCAACATCAAAGGTTGAATTTCTGTTGGCGTACAGGGTTGACATTATCAAGGAACGGGGAGGGGGGAAGTTTTTTTGTGTAGAATTCCAAAGTAAGGAATGGGGGCAGAAGCTGAAAGATGAGGCAAAATTAAAAGCCTGAACAATTTATCTTCTGCTGTGGCTTGAGTGCAGTGCAATGAATATGAGCAGCTTAGCCCAGCTGTCATGGTCTGATCTTTAACGTTTAGTCTAGTAAGCTTACCTTTACCGTGAGTGCTGAGAACTCAGGAGCACTGATTAAACATAGCCACGCTACCTAACCACTTTAATAACTTTTCCTTTCTCGGTGTAAATTCTATGGATTTGTTGAATGGAGTGATGCTGCCTGGCGAATGGTGAGCATCTGTCTAGCTCTGAGTTTACAGGGATCAATCGTGCCCGAGTTCCGTAAAGGTACAGTCCTGGTGAGATCAGGAGGACAGTGCGTTAGCATGGTAAATGAAGAAGCTAGTCATCTGTCCAGCACTGGTTTCCTTTCTGGTTCAAAGCCAAAGAAAGTGAGCTAAGCCCTGTCCTGACCTTGATATGCCCGAGTGCTGGCATATCAATGTGAGAATCTTTACTGAACGATGTGCTGAACGGCTGAAAGTATGAGACCGTTAACTGCATGTGGGAATAATAGCACTCATGATACAATAAATATTAATTCTCATGTGTAGGCTAAAGATCATCAATTCGTTTTCAGTCTCTGCATGTAGAATAAAGGACACAAGACTGTTGTAAATACCAGGTTTCAGATGCACCAGCTTGAACGGTTCAGCACTGTTGTAGCTGCTGTAAAATTTCTCCAGGTTATCTGCCAGCTTTATATTCTATGTATCATACCGATCCATATAATTTAATTAAAATTGCACAAATGTTTGGGGTGTAATGAGCTGTTCCACCCTAATGAACATACAAAAGCAAAGTAACATACTGCGTTTTTTTTAATTTCAAAAACCAATTTGGTTTTGCTTCTGATCTGCAGGTATTACACAGAATTATGTAACATGATGTGGTATTCAGCCATACTGGTGGGTCTGTGCCAATGTTTATACTCCGCACAAATCCTACCCATCCTGTTGCTTTCTCCTTGTCCACACACCACATTTCCTCTTAAATACATTGATGCTTTTTGCTTCAAAAGCTACAGCGTCCAGCAGCGAGTTTCACATTGTGATTTATCAGACTGTTGTAAATCGGACCGTGTTTTATCAGAACCACGTTTTGCCCACAAAATATACAGTCAAATAATAATAATAATAATCCTCGCATTTGATATAGCGCTTTTCACGTCGGGAGGACGTCCCAAAGCGCTTCACAGATCACACTGTAAAGTGAATTGACTGTATATTTGTGGGCGAACGCGGCAGCCAATTGCGCACAGCAATGTCCCACAAAAAATCACCTTGCAGTATGTTCTGTGAAGCACTTTGAAACATCTCGAAGGTGTGATAAGGCTCTATATCAAATGCAAGGATTATTGAGATCCAGACCAGCTAAACTAAGTCATCGTTGCTGGCTTGTGTGGATGGGCTGACTGCTCTGTTTACCTTGCTGCACCAGTGCTGTTGCTTCCAGAGGTAGAACGAAGACCCATCGTGGTGGGTAACTGCTTCTGGAGGCATTGACAGCTGTGCAAAAATAGAAAGGCGGCACATTGTGGGGGTGTAAGAACATTGACCTGTTATAGAAATCCTTCGACGTAGGCAGCAGTTGGGAATGTTTTGGAATCTCTTGAATTATAGAGTAAGGATTTTTTTTTAAATAGCTGCTTCTGCTGGTTTCAATGTTCGCTGCTTGAGAAAGCAGAATATCCAGTGGATCTGAGAGCCCCAATTAATCTTGGCTCACAAGCAGTGAAGGTTCTTCCTTTCTTTATGTCAGAATCATCAGCGTAAATATGCAGTCGTCTTTGTTAAAAGTATTTTTATCACTTTATTGTTGCGTGGAACAGCCAAATGTTATTTGGCTCGAAAATCCCTTCTTAGCTCCATCTGAGCCTGAGGTTCATTGATTCTCCACCAGTCAGTTGAACCGATTGGGATCACTTCCTTCAGTGGCTTTCGTTAATGATGGGAGATTTTGCTTTTGATAATCTTTGCTCTATATATGTATATATTTATATTTAAAAATAATACCTTCCATCTGCTTGGACAGCTTTGGGACAGCTTTGCTACATTTCACTTAAGGTGGACAAAGGTTGTACCAACACGAATCTGACCCGTTTCTAGCTTAGGATTGACTTCCTGGACAGGCTGAATAAGTAATTGCTGGATATTTCAGTATTTCCTGTCAATAGATCCTCACTCTGGCTTTAAGCTTGACTTATTTTCAATACATGGAATACATGCGCAGTAATGTCTTGAAAATGGGAAAATTGTGAAACATGTATTTTTGAACTTTTACATATACAGTAATTGGTTGTCTGGCATCAATCACAAGGGCATAAAAAGGAAGATTAAAGTGTGCTAATGTGGACAGACTACAGTTTATTTGCATAATTGATTCACTTCCTTTAATATTTTATTACAAAAAAAACGTATGAGCTGAATACTCAATAACGGGGATCTGTGGAATAGATGTTTCCACTCCCAGTGACTGTTTGAATTCTTCATCCCATTAGTTTCTATCGCAAATCCTCCCGAATTGTGTAGTAACTCCCGTCTGTCTGTTCCTGCAGGTGAAGAAGACCGAGACAGCCAAAAGCCGCCTGGAAAAGAGGAACTCTGAGCTCATGGGACAGGTGGACAGTCACAGGAGGCAGATCGACGAGAAAGAGGATGAGTTTCACAACCTGGGCAGCCAGCTGCAAACGAAAGACAACTTAGTGAAGAAATGCTTAGACGAGAAGGTAAGCTGAGTGTTTGAGAGTAACAATTACATTGGGGCTTGAATGTTGCACTTTGTCTCTTATCGTAGATTAAAATGCACTCAGTGCTTTCATTAGCTCGTAAAATGGATCGGAATATTCGTGCAATGGTTAACAAATGGAGGCAAACCAAGCAGCAAGTCAGCAGAGCCAATAGTGTATAAGCTCAAGTGGTACTTGCACAGGCTTTCACTATCCATTAATTCCTGCTGGTTTTGCCCATTACTAAATGTTCCTTTTACCTCAGATTTTTATTCTATAAATGAAGGTCTTGTGGGAATACTGACAAATATTTTTTTAAACGCTGTGGCTATTTACTTGCCCGCTTCTCCCCCTCCTGCGACTGCGTTTTTTTAAAAATTTATTTACTGTGCTGCTACCTTCTCACCGCCCCCAGATATCACTGCTTGTGCACGAGCGGACAGACTGCAAATCATCCAGACCCTCGGGTAGTACATGCATTCTGAATCAGAGTGAGAGACTAGTAAGTCCACAGGGTGTCCACAAAGTCCTGTTACCCCCTTATTACCAAACAGAGATATGGAGGAGCTGGAACAAGTTGTCAGGAATACATTTGGCCTCCTCACTCCATCCGCGTTACGGAAGATATGGCATCAAACGTAGCGACAGATCATTATCTGCCATGAAAATGATGGCGCTCACACACACACCCCACACACACCCCACACATTGATCCTCTGGATGTCTCAATACAGTTGAACACTTGTACTGAATACAATTAAGTGCTTCTAAATAAAGGACAATTATCATTTTTCCACATGTTTTAGTTATTGGTCGGTGAGTGCACTGTAAGAAAAAAACATGAGGGCAACAGGACTTTGAGATTCAAGAAGTGGAAAAGTTTGCTCCAGCATAGGCTTATGGTGTGCTGCAATTTCAGCAGTGCTTGAGGTGGGTTCACTTCCTTCCTGATTGTGCCCAGACAGTTGGGCCAGAAATTGAGAACATACTGAGGTTGGAAGCTGGGAGAAGATACCACCTTGCTCAGCTCTTTACAGTCTCGGGCAATGCACCACTGAGCTACTTTTGCAAATTCAACACTGGCTCTGGAAGGAAATAGTTGACGTTTCTCGTCACGAAACAAAGCGCTGTGTGGAAAAGTGCAACCTGAGCCAGCTTCTTTGTAGAATAATGCATTGTCGCATTATTGGAGCCTTTTCCTGCCATGACAGTTAAATAGCAAAGAAACGTATTAGGTAATGAAAGAACTTGGTACAGCACTGACAGTGCAACGTGCCCTGTTTCTTAAGATGGGGCCATGTCATGAGCCTCTCAGTAATAGACTGTCATTGCTTGTGCTGCTTTAATGTAACTGCACAAGTGCTTTCAGTGCATCTGAAGCTGTGTTAGTTTTAAGGCACAATTGCTGAACTGAGAACGGTGTGAAAGCAATTGATTTGATTAACCTTTGAAGCACTGGATTTCGTTCGGCTGCTATTGAATTGCTCACTCAATCATTAGTACATAATGCAAGGCTGGAGTGTAGCCTTTTTTTTTTTTGCAACTGACCCAGCACCAATGGTTCTTGCTTATTTGCACAATTGTTTCTGAGCCAAGAAAAAATAAACATGTATCTTTCTGTACAAGGAGTCACATTGATTTTATTTTTGAGAATTTCAAACTGAATTTCCTGGAAAATAAACAAGAGTGTCTTTGCCAACACATCAGTAGTATCGCCCACAAAATATACACTTTAGAGTATTTGGCGCTTTGAGATGTCTCAACTGTGTGATAGGGCACTATATCAAATGTCAGGATTATTATTATTAACTTTTGAAAAAGTCTGGTTCAATTTGACCTTTCCTTGGTAAATCATTTTTTTATATATTATAGATTATATATATGTGTTTTTCTTTCCTCAAATTTTTCCCTTTTGCCGGACAGAGGCTGACCCCTTGCTGGCAAGGCTACTCTCCTGTGAGCTAAGACTGTGTGCTGGAGAGGGATGTCTCACAGGCCAAGTCCCATCCTGTTCTCAGCGAGCACACAACACCACACGTACACATTCCAGCCGAGATCGCTGGAGAGTGATCGGAATTGAAAGTACATTTTGTATCGATTTAGTTTTAGATTAAATGCACCTGGAGCCCTTCCAATTCCCCAGTGCAGCGGAGAGTCACCATTCAGGGCAGCCTTGGCCTGTCTTGCCTCTTATTTGTTTGTTTGGATTTCGGTCGCCATCAGTTTCTAATGGCAAGAAACAGTTTGTGGGAGAGTAGTTGCCCTGGAGCTTCAGCGGTGACAGCAAGACATCAGTGTCATTTGGTAATTTGGTATTGTATCATCTCGGTCTGTTTTTTGGGGGTGTGGGTTTTTAGCAGCTGTAGTAAGGAATGTTGTCCTTTCGGTTTTCTGCTACTGGGTAGAAAGTCCTCCTGCTTTCACTTGAACGGTCCCTATTGAGTGAGCAGCTGCTGCTGAAATTGGCTGTGTGCTCAGCTGCAGATTACCGTAGCTCGCTGCTGATACCCAGGACGGAATTGCTGTATTAACGCTCGTTAGCCTGGGTGATAAGTCACGGTCGGGGTCAGGCCAGTCTAGGGTAACCTCTGGGGGGAGGGGGTTCTGATCTAATCCTGCTCAAGCAAGTTTATTACAACCAGAGGAAAGCAGTTTCCATTTTGCAAATTGGAAGCTGAATTGTGACATCTACCACGGCCCGAAATAACAAGGAAACGGGGACGCGATCTGACAAGTTTTGCTGTAAATCGTGCTGCGGCCGTAGCAAGAGGCACTGTAAAGGACGTGCTGAATTAGGCAGTAAATTGGTTTCCAAATCTTTATAATAATAATAATAATCCCTGCATTTGATGAGGCGCCTCACCACGTCTTCGAGACGTCTCAAAGTGCTTCGAGAATATACTGTAAAGGGAATTGACTATTTTGTGGGTGGAATTATGCAGTCAATTATGCTATATATCCTTTTGGCTGCTGACCAGGCAGCAGAGAGTGTTGCTCGGTGTAAACTGATTTCATTGCATTCAGAAGCAATGTATCATTAAAAGGCCGGGTACCTCGGTGCTGCTTTTTCCGCATTGTGTCCTTTTCAAACCACAAGGGTATGTGCTGGGGGGGTGGTCTCATAAGATACTATTACGCACTTTGGCGGCACAGTGAGCGCACTTCAATTAATTTTCACAATCTTTTATGAGTTCGAGATGACTCTCTTACGGTTTCTCACCTGCTTCATGCACACAACCTGCTCGAGGGAATTTCTGCGCAGTGCTCTGAGGATGCTCTCAATTACACGTCATAAATTGCTAAGTGGTTTTGCTGCCTCCCTTTTCTTCCCCTCCCCCCCCCCCCCCCCCACCCGAACGATGAATTGTGTGTTGCTCATGCGAAATGTTGTTGGTGTGGTTTAAACGGAATGCTTTTTCCCCATTCCAGGCACCTCGTGAGTGCCTGCCTCGAGAATTCCCCGGCCAGTTCTAGTGAATGTGAGGCTGCCTCTGCAATCTTAGAAGATATCCCGGCATTGACTTCTGTCGTCTATCTGGAAATGGCCAATTAGTGCCAACTTAGGTTGGTGCTGCAGACATGTGCCCAACCTCCCTTGTCGTAGGTCAGTTGCAGCCAGCTAGCGAGAGAGCCCTGCTAACTTGCAATGACTGGAATAATTTGAAGTCCCAGAGCCCAGGTACTAACTCACCGCACTGCATTCTCCTAAGATATGTTCAGGGCGAGGTGGTTGTATTTGTTACCAAACCTCTTCAACAGATTGCAAGCGTTTTGAGATGCCTTCCCAATGTGAAAGGCGTTCTAGAAATCTGTACTGTATATGCGTACTGTCATGCTTTCAACACCTCATTGCGAATTCATTTATCTCAGAACACCTTTCTGTTTGGCGATTTTTGTTCTTGCAGAATCCTAATGGAAAATAATTGACTAATTCCTATTCCCCCGCACCCAACTCCATCCCCCCCCCCCCCCCCCCCCACACACACACACACACGCACACACCAGACACACACACGCTTATTTTGAGGTTCATTTGTTGGGCAGATTCACCTAATCTGGCTTCATATCTCAAATTGCAGCCTACTCTTATGCAGCTATTTCACTGCTGTTCAGACTGAAAATATGTAAACAGGATCTTGCGGAGGAATTAGGCAAGTGGTAGTGATATTCATAATGCTTGGTTTATTTTCGCAGTGAGCATTCAGTTCATCATGTTACTGCAGTGTCGTTCAGTAAGCTTGAAAAATGAGTCTTTAGAGCCAAGCTGATTGAATATAGGGGCATTGAATTCAATTCTGTAAACAAGTTCTCGATATTTTTTCCATTTATCAAAGTGAGTGACTTAACATTGAATGTTCCCGAAAACATTAAGTAGCATTTTTTCCCTCCTTCTTCCAAACTCCTCTGTAATGTTCAGTTTAGGTAATAACAATATTGATCCACGCTGAGATGGGAGCTTCAGCTGCGCTGCTGAATGCCAAGCTGACACTTTGATGGGTTTATTCTCCTCGATGTCCTCAGCTGTTCAGTGTTTGTTACTGCTCTCTGGCTTCAGCTTTTCTTGCTTGACTCGATAGCTGGGATTTAAGCTACTTGTAGCCAAATAGCAAGTGTTGCAGATCTGTCAACATTTCATTCAATTTGACAGCGTAATGGAGAAATAAAGATTCTTCGGGAAACCCAGACTGCCTTTTCCCGGGGGCGCCCAAGGGTTTTCAAAAGGTCTAATACATGCAGACCTGCAATAGGCTTGTTATTCAGCCCAGTTTCAAGTACTCTCCACCTAATCTAGAAAAGATGTATTTCCATCTCTGGACTCGATCTTACATTGCATTAAAAGAGAAACTGGAAAGTGTAAAGGGCTATTTTGTTTATCTCCTTTTGATGCTTGAGAGATGTTGAATTGGTAAAATAATTCTCACATTTATTACAGCACCTATAACGTCAATGTCTCAAAATGCTCTTTGACGTTTGCAGAGTCTCTCTGCAAATGTCAAAATTTTGGAGAACTTCAAATTTGCGTTGGGGAATTGGGTGGAGGAATGGCATCGTCCTTTAAACACGTCAAAATTATCTGCAGCGAAAGGTCTCATTCTAACTTGTGTTTCTCTTTCCCCCTTGCTCCACAAGATAAAACATCAAAATAATATAACTGAACAGCTGTCTTTGATTCATCGATTGCAAGGTAAGAATCACGGCAGATTGCCCAGCGGTCAACAAAACCTTCAGCTCTTTGCTGTCAAACGGGTTCTCTGCCTTGAACGCAATCTCACTACTTGTTAACACTGTTTGTACACAATCACGATGGTCTCTTCAGGTCAAAGGGAGAAGAATGCTAGGAATATCATAAGTTAAGTGAAGGGCTTGACTCTCTTTGCCCATTAAAGACCATTTCAAAGTGTTGAGATATCAGAGCTGCTGATAGAGGCACAAAACATCAGTGCAACATTTCAAAAAGCACAATATTGTTCACTTAGAGAGTGATACCTGACAGCAGGAGAGAACTGAGCTTCCTATTAAGTTTTATAGCAATATGGAATCCATTAATGTAATTGCACAATTCAAAACTCACTAGCTTGTCTTCCTTCCTCTCCTTTCTCTCTGTCCTTCCCCCCCACTCCTCGCGCCCCCCAAATAATGCAGAGGTTTCCTGAAGCCAACTAAGTCCTTGTGTGGCAATTAACAATGTTGCTCGTATTATAATAATCATAATCCTTGCATTTGAAATAGCACCTTATCACATTATTGAGACATCGTGAAGTGCTTCGCAGAATATACTGTAAAGTGGATTGACTGTTTATTTCATTTTACAAGATATTTATTATATCTTATAACGTAGTGATTTAATATATTGCTTATTGAACGAGGCCCGTGAATTTTATAGCTCAGCCGAGGTATTTTCCTGTCTTGCACAGAGCAGCTTGCTGAATTACGTCAGGCATTCATGAGGCAAGAAGATCAGCTACAGGAGTACAGGAAGAACACCACATCCCTGGAGAAGAAGCTGGAGTACGAGAGGTAATATGCCCACCCAGCCTAGTACAAAGTACAAACCATCTTTCTTTAACAGGAGGTGGATGAAGATTTTTGTCAAATCCTTTTGTAAAAACCCATTAGGGATTCTGTTTCAACCACCATTTTTGTCAGGGCGTTCTGTTTCCTAACCACGCTGTGCGTGTGTGTGTGTGTGCTTGTGTGCCTGTCTGCATGCATGCGTCCGTGTGTCTGCGTGTGTGCATGCAGAAATTCTAACCTCTCTTTATTTTTTTTGCGGTAATGATCTTTCAATTCTGCCCTCATGTTACCGACTCGCTATCCGGCGGATTTGCAATTTTTGTACAATAGGATAAATCTGGACAAATTATGCCCGAAATAAATTGTAAGTGCCTGCTGATGACGTGAATCCACAAGGTCATTGCGGCTGATGTCTGGGTGTCTCAGGGGAAAAGGAGCGATGCTCTGAATGAAGCGACAGTGAGCAGAACAATGCAATTACTGAGCGTATGGCAATCCAGGCATCAGAGTCAAGTAAAATGCTGTATTAACTGCTTAGGATCATTGGTAGAGACTGGTACGTCAGCAGCATATACTGTACTTCCAAGCAAGCAAGGGCCATGCATCCAGTCATTCACATCAGCTTCATGGAGTTGACGATTTGGAGTTTGTCATCTCAAAATGATCATCTGTCCACTCTGCTACACCGTCAACTTCCAATTTGAATCTCTTTCGCCCAACAGACCTGTCATTGTCTCTGGCAGAAATCCGTTCCTTAATTCTACCATCTGCCGAAGAGTTGCCTCATAAGTGTTGACACCTTTTAGTTTGTCTCTTGATGCTGCCGTTGCTTAGCGACGGGCGCTCATCTCCAGAGACCCCGAGCAAACAAAAAGCAGGAATCCGTGCCTTACAGTAGCTAATGTGGAGGCAGTTATTATATTAAACACAATGATTATGACAGATCACGACCCAGGACTTTCCCAGTGTACTTTCACTATTTCAGGGCAAAGGCAGGTTTAATACAAATTAGATTTTGCAAAGCCACGATAAGCTTTGATTATCTGGATGATTGGCTCGGTGTCAGGCTCCGCCACTATCAAACTCTTTGGGACGCTACCCTGTGAGGGGTGCTACATAAATGCAAGTTGTTGTTGATGGGCAGTGAGAATGAAATTGTGTGTTGCGTCTAGTTTTCCGTAACCCGGAAAGTTACCTCGGCCTGAATAAATAGTGCTTTTTTTTGGGTGTGGTGGGAGGATGGAGATCATGTGTAAAGCTGATTTTGGTGAATGATTCTGAGCACTGCTCTATGTTGCGTTGTCTTGCAGCCTGCAATGTGGCCAACAGATCAGTGCGCTCAAAGAGCAATGGGAAGAGAAGTTCAGGACTTTAGGAAAACTGTACGAACAACCTCCAAAGCTTCAACTGGATGTTGAGAAACAAAACCAGGTAAGCCGTGAAGGGCAGTGTTTTAGCTAGCTTCAATTTTTGGGGGAGAAGAAATGTTGAGATAACTTGGTCGGAGAGTTATCACCCAGCTCCATTGGCTCCCCACCCCCTAGACAAAATCCCTGTCCTTGCTTTCAAAGCCCTACACACGGCTTTGCTCTTCCCTACCTCTGTGACCAGTTAACTACATACTGACCTGTCCGCTCCCACTGCTCAGCAGGCTTCAGCTTGCTCCATGTCCACCGCCTGACCCGCCCCAACATTAGCAGTCGGGCCTTCGGCTTTTCTGCCTCCGCTCTTTGGAGCTCCATCCCACAGTTCCTCTGCCACGGTCCCTTCCTAGCCTCCTTCAAAACTCTTCTCTTCGGTCCGCCTCCTACCTCACCCTGCCTGCCCTCCCCCTCTCCTGATCCCAACCCCCAGTTCAGGTGCAAATCCTTGACTGTCAAGTGCCTTGAGAAGTCCTCCCGATGTGAAAGGCATTTTACAAATGTAAGTTGTTGTTGTGAATGGCGTTTTTTTTTTTTGCGTTGCCCTTTTTAACTTTAATACTTGTACATTCTCCATGGCCTGCAAACCAGGTGGAAGAAGCTAACCCTCAGCCAGTGGACAGGCTACACGTCAAAGACAAGGTGATCGGAGATCTGGTGGTGCCAAAAGCTGGCGACGATGGTGGGAACAAAGTGCTGCCTCACCTGGACAGTGAGAAGAAAAATACTAGTAAGGAAGGTTTCTAAAGACATTCTCGCTAGTAATTTCTATAATGCAATACATTGCCATTTCAAGTTGGCGAAATCACGTTCCTTTTGCCGTAAGATTCAGCAAGTGTAACAGTCGTACCTGTCAGCTGTTAAACCAATTGTGCGGGGAGTCTGGCCGAGGTCAACTGAGCGTATGTCACAGCTGCAGACTCTGAGGTAATTAAAACGTGGGTGATTTGTGCCCGACGCGATATTTTGTGGTACAGATTTGGGCACAAATGTTTCTCTTGCCTCCAATGGCTGTATGTTGGCTATGGTGAAATGAGTCACGGGGCAATCTTGGCCCTTTTGGTGACCCTGAATCTATCGTCCCAAGCTTCTCTTTTCCACCCCCCAACACGTGTACATACACACATACTAATTGAGATCCCATGCCACTATTTCAAACCATTTCCCTTCCTCATCCCTATTTCATCTAAGAATCCTGCTGAATTGTCTGCTCGTCTCATTGTGGGACTTTGCTGGTTGCAAATTAACTGCAGCGGCCATAGTAATGGTAAATGAGGGTATCCAGGAACTGGCCCCTGTATATCTTCATCAGATTGATGCTCTTCACATTGTTGAGAAAGGCATAGAGAGAGATTCGCTGGGCATCTGGCTCTCCTATTTCCTGGCTCTGGGGATAATCAGAGCTGGAGCTGGGAATAAATAGTGGAAAACCAGCATCCATCTTGTAGCACAAATATACCTTCTGCTGCTGCAAATAAATTTCAGCTAAAATGTGGTTTGAAACTATGGTTTGATTTTTATCATTGAATTCCCTTTTGCAGACTTGGGGAAACCAGATGATGATGATGCCGGGATGCCTGAGATGGAGGATAATGATCTGGGCAAATCCATCGACGCTTCTATTGGTCAGTACCAGAAAAAACAAAAAAACTCCTTGTACTGAATTTAAAGTTGCATGTCAATTTTAAAGCCATTACATGATCTGCAGAGAGAAGTGGCACATGGGGACGAGGAGAGGAAGGAATGAATGTCTTTGCACTGTTACATCCTGAGTTACGTAGTATAGATTTGTTTTCCCAAACTCTTCATTGGTCAATTTCAAAAAAATTTGAAAAAATTGGTCATTTTCAATCTACAACTGTTTGTGGGACTCTGCTGTGCGCAATTGGCTGCCGCGTTCGCCCACAAATATACAGTCAATTCACTTTACAGTGTGTTCTGTGAAGCGCTTTGGGACGTCCTCCCGACGTGAAAAGCTCTATATCAAATGCAAGGATTATTATTATTATTGGAACAAATTGAATTTCATACTGTTAGCAGCCAAGTTCCCTTAGTTGAAAGGATTTTTCTCCTCCTCCGAGTATAAATATTGTGGCCGTGTGTTGTGCGAGGGTGCGGTGAGGAAATAAATCATTGTGGTTGATTATCAGACTAGGCTGTGTCATTTTCCTTTCACCTAAACCTGAGAAAAGCACTGACAGAAACCATGCCAAAGATATTGGACCTTCTAAGAAGTTGAGAGATGTGCACTGTTGTTCGAGCCCCCTCTGCTGGCAATTAGATGGACGATCAATTCCCTTGTCAACGCAGTAACAATTATAGGAGTTGTGTGATGTTTAGCCGTCTTTAGGCTGTTTGCTGGAGAATCCACCACCCTTTTATCCGCCCCTTTTTTATTTTTGAGATCGGGGAAAAGAATGACCGGCAATAGTGAGAGAGGGCCCCTTCTGAAACACGGGAGACTGTACATTTACAATGTTGTGTCCGAATGTGCAATGAATCAAAAGCTATCTTTGGAAAGGAAGGGGCATACAGGAAAGGTGGGCAAATGGGATCAAAGATCTGCTGTGATCTGATAACTGGGGGAATTGGCTGGATGGGTTGAGTGCTTTAGTTTCCTTGTATGATTAATATTAGCTATTGGAAGTTAATGCATATTTTATATAGAATGTACAACACAGCCCATTTGGCCCAACTAGTCCATGCCAGACTTTATACTCCACTTGAGTCTCCACCCAACTGCTTACTCCCTCCCTCCTATACGCTTCTATTGCCTTCTCCCTCAAGTGTATATCCAGCATCCTCTTATATGCATGTTTACATACATTTTCTTCCAGATCAGTTACTCTCTGCTATTGTGGCAGCTAAAATTCTTTGTTATGAAACCTTAGATGAACTTGTAGGAACATTTCTTATTTATCCAAAATAATCTTTGCTTCAGATCGCAAGAAAAACGCAGTAAACTTTCATGACGATGAGAATGGGATAGTCGCGGTTATTGGAGGCCCCGAGGACAATCCACAGCCCGAGGCTAAGTCTGCCCACCATTTTGAGAGGAGCCTCAGTGTGCAGCTCCCCCCAAACCATGCTGGATTTCATGCCAACCAGGGGATCATGGGGAAAACATCCAAGCAAAAACTGCACTTGCCAGATTCTTTAGAGAACAGGGAGTTGGTGGATGGGCAGAATGAAGAGCTCCCTGTCAAAGCAGATGAAATTGGAGAAGCTTTGAGGCTTCAACCAGGTAAATAAATCATGTGTGACAGAGCCTGACCTTCATCCGCTGCGAGTGAAGAGCATGCGTACGCGTACCTAATTTTCCTAAAGCCCTCTCTTACCCTTTTTGTCCTTCTCTTTCCTCTGGCAATGCTCAGTGCATGAAAGAGAATAATAATAATCCTTGCGTTTGATACAGCACCTTATCGCGTAGTTGAGACGTCTCAAAGCGCTTCACAGGATACACTGTAAAGTGAATTCACTGTGTATTTTGTGGAAGAATGCTACAAAGGACCCAATTCTCCTGGATCGTTTCTCCAGGGCAGACTGTCAGCTTGTGGTGCAGTGAGGTAGACACTCACATTTGGTGACTGTGGACAGGGAGGTATTTGCGAGCAGACAGTTAGATAAAGCTGCGAAACTCACTCTGCTGGTCAGTTTAATCAAGTCAATATTTGAGAGCAAACAGAGGGCTCCTTCAGTCTGATGCTTCCCAGCTGTGGCACTGATGGAATGATTAATGATTCTCTCATTTACTGCACTGACCTCTGCTATGCTCTTTTTCCCCACCCACCCACCAACTCAGCAATCAGTGACAATCCCTCACTGTGGAAAACCAGTCACACCACGAGACACTGCCCACAGAACCAAATGACATGGCCCATGCCAACAATCCTATGTTTTTTGCTGCACAGTTTAAACCATGTCCTCCCCTGCCTGGAATATTAAGTTCTAGCTTTTCAATTAGAAATGCCTCCCAGCATTGTAATGAGCAGACTTTGCATAGAATTATACATCACAGAAGGAAGCCATTCGGCCCATCGTGTCTGTGCCAGCGCTTTGAAAAGAGTTATTCAAATCAATCCCGCTCCCTCGCTCTCTCCCCATAGCCCTGTAAACTTGTCCTCCCCACGTCTTCCCCGAGTCTTCAGCTCTTCCACCCTCAAATCGGGCTCCCAGTCAGCCTTACAAAGCCCCTCGAGACATCCTCCCGACATGAAAGGTGCCAACGTAAGTGTAAACTGTCGGCTGATCGTTCTCCTGAATTGTTTCAATGCAGCCAGAGACCTCGAAGGGAAACGTGAGGAGCACATGGGCAATGGGGCAGTCGTTCAGCCGCCGCCCAATCCAGCCCTGCGTTTCGTGCCCCCACACGGCTTGTCAAATTCTCCAGGTCACCGGAGTAGAATTGGCATCAACGACAAAGCAAATGACCATGGAGACCATTTTAAGCACCAGCCAGGTATAAAGGTTTGCTTTTCAACCGCCTATGGTTCTTAAATGCTGTCTGCGTAACTGGTTTATTTCAGTGTAATGAAGAACACCTGAGTTATAGTGGATCACCTTGTTTCTGGTCAGGGCGAGATCTGTTTTCACTGCCATGTTGAAGTATCACCAGGAGGATTGCCCCGTTGATGGTCAAATTCAGTGTCAAAGTCCCTTGGGTGTGAACGAGCATTTTTATGCGTTTCACGTAAAAGAAATCTCTTGAATCACCAGATACGTACTGCACACGTCCATTTGATTTGACGTCCAGATCACAAGATGATGGGCTGTTGCTTTGATGTGTGCAGTTTGTGTATGTGAGCCTGTGTGTGAGTGGGACTTTGCACTGGTGATGTGCAACATCAGAAAGCCCCAGCCAGGTTCTCCAAGCTTTGTTGAAGAATGTGATCAGATGTGGGCCCGAGCAGGGTGGGTTGGGATCAGGAGAGGGGGAGGGCAAGGAGGATAGGGGTCAGAGGGTGACCGAAGACCCAGTTGAAGAGGAGGGTCTATAGATGTACCTTGAAGGAAGCAAGGCAGGAAGAGAGTGGCTTCGGGGACGTCAATATCACACATCAGCCCCCGACACGAATGTAAACGAAACGCAAATAGATGCTGGAAATCTGAAACAAAAACAGAAGTGGTTGGGAACACTCAGCAGGTCAGGCAGCGTCTATGGAGAAAGGAAAGTGAGTCAACGTTTCGGGTCCACGAAACATTCTGACGAAGGGTCGTGGACCCGAGACGTTGACTCACTTTCCTTTCTCCATAGATGCTGCCTGACCTGCTGAGTGTTCCCAGCGACTTCTGTTTTTGTTCCCGACACGAATCTACTGTTTGTAGTTTATGGTGTGTAATATGTGAACAATTACTCTTGCATTGTTAGTTCACTTTGAAACTCCCGCGTTTGGGACATTCCATATTTTACGCCTACTTTTATTTGGTAAATCCGAACGGGCAGTTGTTGCTTTTCCCTTGTACGTTGTGGAGTTTTTTTGCGCAGGGAATTTTTGAGCAATTTGCGGTGACTGGGTACTATAATTGCACCTAATTCACAAATGCGATCAACTGTGATTACGTAACTGTTTACGAACGTCGCTATATCCCGGATGGAGTAGCAAGACGCAGGTTTAAAATTGCACTAGAATACCCAGGTTTATATTGCAGCTGATGACAAACTTCAGGTGGCAGGTTCAGGAGCAGGGCTCAAAATCTAAATGCAGCTTCGAGAACTGGATTTATACGTTTACACGTTTACTGTGAATTCAGCACAATCGTGTTGAGTCGACCCTTGAATTTTATGTTGATTTGAATTCTTTGTTGCTGGACGATCAAAGCAAACTGCTTAATTGTGGTGACCTCTACTGGCTGCTAATCTGTATTTCACTCCTGCGGTCTGTTGCTCCTTTCCATCTGGTCTGTCAGACTTCACACTCAAGTTTTCAGCTCGTTCAGAGATCAGATTCAGTGGAATTTCACTACTTGGCTTTTGTCAGTAGCAGTAGGCAGTCCCTTTACATCCACCCGAATTGCCAGGCAGGTGGAAGCTAAATCGATAATATTGAAGAAGAAAACCTTTTGCTTTTAACTAAGAGCAATTTGCAAACCTTTAAGACGGATGATTTTAATTTGACACAAATATCAACTGATCACCAACTACTCCATCCCACAATCCCTTCGTCTTGCTCCCTCTCTTGCCTCCTTCAAGACTCAAGACTCTCCTTTTTGACGTGCCTTCAGCCGCTCTCCTACCTCCTCTGCCCTCCCTCATCCCAACCCCCCCACCCACCACCGCCATGCTCGGGTCCTGATCCCTGACTGTTCAGTGCCTTGCGACCTCCTCCCGACGTGAAAGGCGCTTTACAAATGTAATTTTGTTGTTGTAATGTTCACAATGGAAGCTACTGCCTTGGTTTCAAAAAAAGTATTATCTTCTCTTCCTTCTCTTCCCCCCACTCCCTCCCCCTACCCTACCCCAAATGGAAGCATCCACCACATGTTGGTGTTTGTGCCACGTTCAGCGGGACTGATAAACTAGTCACTGTGATTGAGATCTCAGGGAAGTTGAAGTGAAAAGATTCACTACAGTCAAGAATCTGTTGAGTGCCTCCTTTTAAAAGTAATTGAATTCTATTGTTCTCCATATTCAATATGGATTTCTGTCTTTTTTTTCTCTCTCCTGCTTTCTCTCTTTCTCTCTCTCTCTCTCTCTCTCTCAATCGCTTCTGGCGCCGACTCCTCAGGCCAGTTCTTTGATGAGAATGAGTCCCCAGCTGATCCGCAGCACGATTCTAAAGTGGCAGATTATAATGGGGATGATGGTAATGTGGGTGAGTATGAGGCAGACAAGCAGGCCGAGTTGGCTTACAATGAGGAAGAGGATGGTGATGGTGGGGAAGAAGATGTGCAAGGTGAGCTTGGGCCTTGTTTCCTTCACACTAAAGTCATGCTAAATCTGAGAACAGTGTTATCTGCTGATTATGTCCCCTCCCCCACAAGCCGTGAGGTCCAGTGGATTTTCAGTCAGGCTGAGTCTCCCTATTCACATTTAGTATTTCTCTTTATGGTATTAGAGTTCGTCAGATATTGTCTTGCTTAAAAAACATAATTCGGCCACTCAATCCATGACCGTTTGTGGGAGGCTGCTGTGCCTAATTGGCTGCCGCAATTCGCCCACAAAACATACAAGTCAATTCACTTTTTGCAGTATATTCTGTGAAGCGCTTTGAGACATCTCAAAGATGTGATAAGGTGCAATATCCACTGCAAGGATTATTTAACATTTGGGGTATAGCAGCATGAACTGGTGTGGCCAAATGTGCTGTAATGTTCTATATTGGGTTTAGACCCCCTTGTTTTCCCCTAAGCACCAATAGGCTCGTTGTGAATTACTGAATGGTGCAATGAGACGTCTTGAAGATGTGATCAGGCACTATATCAAATGCAAGGATTATTATTATGCAGATAACACAGATTTAGCTTTAGTTGTGTCTGCATGTCCCATCTACTTCTTTGCATGCATTGTGAGCCTGCCCATGATCAGGTTTGCCTGCTGACTGCCTGCATGCAGCCCATAGTGTGACCCCCTCATTCTCATCTTCCTTCACCTTTCCATCTCCAACACCTCTGACTACATTCTAGTATCGTAGCTGTTCTATGTATGTTTCTGTGTGTATGTGCTTCCACGTAACATTCATTATGAATATGGTGAAATGTCCTTTTTATTGTACCAGCTATTTAGTTTGGAATAAAGTCATAGAATATCCGAGCTAAGAAAAAAAAATGGGAGAGCTACTAAAATAATCAACTCTGACTGTGATTTATTATTTGGGCTTCCACTATTGCATCATTGAAGGATCTTTTTTCTGTTATGGGATTCTGTCAGTTAATTCAGGAGAGTGTCCTTCTCTGCTTGTAATGTTCTTAACAAATGGAATCGCCCCAAATTCAATACTGGACGTAACTCCTGTACTGTGTGGAGTCCTGTAGCATATTGGTCAGAGGACTCACCTCACAGGGGAGGGAACCCAGGTTTGAATCCTGGGCAGGGCGAAACCTTAGGCAAGTCATGTTACTCCACACATCTCTGTTAACCTAGCAGTAAGTAGGAGCCCAGTTGTTAGTTGGTTGATGGATTGCTTTCCAGGGTTAATTATCTCTTCAAATAAATAAAATAATAATAATTTGGTCACTCAATCCATGATTGTTTGTGGGATACTGCTGTGCACAATTGACTGCTGCGTTTTGCCCACAAAATATACAGTTAATCCACTTTACAATATATTCTGTGAAGCGCTTTGAGAAGTCTCAATGACATGATAAGGTGCTATAATAAATGCAAGGATTATTATTATTGTATCATCCTGTTTGTTCCAAGAAAAGTGTTTTGTTGGATTCGAAGATGTGGATTTACAGCAAAGGGAGCACAGAAGGCTGGTCGGTCACTTCATTTACTGAAAAGCTTGATGCAGCACATTCCGTTCAGTTGCATGTGGCCCTTGTTCACAGCCTTGAGAACCGGGAAACCTGAGGAATTTTGCAACCAATCCATCCCCATGACCTCACGGAGAGTTGGCAATAAATACCACTCCTGTAAGGTCGAATGGTCTGAACTTCAGACTAGCCTGCCCTCTGGACCACTTTGCCTATTGCGTTGGTTTCCCCAATAACCTCAAGGCCCTTTTTGATTGATTCTATTTGTAGGAGGTCAGTCGGGAAATGTACGGGTATAATGCTTTCACCGTTGCCTATGTGTGAAAGTCAAACTCGCTGGTCCTTTGGGACCTGTGTGCATCCATGGCCTTTTTGAGCTTGTAGTAGCACGTCCTTACAGCCTGTCTTGCAGATGGTACAAGGATTCATCCATCTTCAAGTCTTAGACCCCTGTACTGTACCCAGGATCAAAGCAAGGACAATTTCCCTCCAGCAATTAAATATTCTTGTTTGGATCACACCTCTTGGTCTGTGTCTAACCTCCTGATCTATGCCTCCTAAGATTCTTAATGAATTAGTAAAAGGAAAGATTTTAATACTTCCCCTCAAATTCTTTTTTTTCCCGTCAGCTGGGTGTCTTGACACACGCGGAAACCCATCACTGTGCTTAAGAGTCTCCAAACCAAACTGAGAATGCCATACATTCCACCTACACGTGGCAATTCCAGAGATAGATTGTTGAAATGGAAGGCGCACTCTTTCCCTGGAGGGACGCCGCCTACTTACCTAATTCCAGAAAGTATTTGGCACAGGTTGTCAGGAATCGAGGTTTGAGGACCTCAGAGTGTGCGTTCGGGTAATTGCTGGAGTCTAACCAGCTAATTCTATTGATGTTTTGTTTTCCCAACGATAGATGATGAGGAGCAAGAGCTTCCAGTGGATTTGAACAACCCTGCAGAAGGGTATGAAAATCGTCACTTCGTAGCAGATGGCTTGTAACTGCTCCACGTGATTGAGATAAGGTTTATTGGCCGTGGAAAGCATCTTATTAATGACTGAGGCAATAACAGAAACGTTGTACACTATGCCATGGCCTTTTCGTTTTACAAGTGCATTACTTGATCAATTTGAGAACTTCCAGTGGTTGACGTCCAGTGAAATAGAAGGTGATACGACTAATATTTGTTTCAAAAAGATTATAAGTATCTGTTTGATTTATAATTGCAAATGCTTGGTGGGGGGGGGGGAGTTTATTTACCTCTGTACATTATTTTGTATATTTTGTACTTTTTAAGATTTTATGAACCAAATTGAGTTATTTCTTTTTGAGAAAGGGGCTTGCTACCAGCTCATTAATTAATCCTTTACAGAAAAAAAGTGTAAAATCATCCAAATGACTATGTGGATACTAGCAGGAATCTGTAATACATTCAGGTCAAGTGAAGTGGCATTTGAGAACAGCTCTGTTTAAATTAACTGTATACAAATCTTACTGGTTAAATCCTGTAGCTGCATCTTTTTTGCCTTGTATAACTCGTCAATAATATTGCATTTTGCTCAAGAGTGAAGTGTTATTCTCTGAAAATAGTACATATTCTCTGTGCTTTGTGGGCTCATGCCTTGATCTACTCTCGTGTCTTCAGTGCTCTCCCAACTGTCTAACCCACACAAGAATATATGGATCAACAAACCGGTATGGTAAATGAAGTTTATCTGAAATATCTTGAATAGAACCATAGTTTGCATAGCCCCTTTTGTTTCATAATCCTGTATAGATACATTAATATATACCACTCCTGTACATATGAGCACAGATCGTAGCAATCTGCTTACCTATGGCTAGGTATGGAGTGCTCAGTCGTTCACCCGCTGAAACCTCATGATCTCTATCTAGCAGCAATACCCTGGCGATCCCGACCGTGTGTTGTATAGGAAACCCATTGACTGGAGAAGCGCAATGCCGCACCGCGTTCCAGATGGGTTAGTGAGTGTGGATAGTGTTAAAGTGTAACTTTAACTGTAGCGACATGCTCCGTCCGGACTTACTCTGTGCTCAGTAAAAAAAATAAGTGGGCTCTCCCGTTGTCTGCAACGCAAAATGATAGTAACAAATATTACACTATTATAATCAAATGCTACATGTTGAAGCTTTCTAATATGATTTTCATTCATGCGATATACAGTCACTAGCTATTCTTGTGAAACTTTCTAAAATAGCAAAAGTTTTGAAATTGTAATATCCTCTACATAGCAGGCAGACAGGAAGTAATATATTGCACTATCACTTTTGAAAGTGAATTTTGTAGATTTTTTTAAGTATACGATGGAAATGTATAACCCTTTGATTTACTGCTAATAATCCTTGCATTTGATTGTTGTTAGTAAATTGACCCCTTAATTTACTGTAAGTGTGGGTCAGACTGGGACATGACAATATGGACAGACTTGAAGTTTATTATTCTCTTTAGGTGATTTCCATATCTCGTTTAGAGTTAGAAATGCTCACTATTGGGCGTAAGAAATGTGATTGCAAAGTTTGTATTTTCAAAATGGACATTACATTGGGGGAGAAATAATAGCTTCTTCCCCTCTAAAATATCAATGAAAAGTAACAATACAATAACACATTGATAGCCTGATCAAGCATTGCAGATAACTTCATAATGCTTCTGCTTTCATACAAGGATGCATTCTGCATTGGTTACATCCCCAGAGCACCTGTAAGCCACAAGATCCCAGTGTGGCATTTAGTACATGCTGTGGAACGCAAAACCCTAAAACTGTATTTAAGAGAGATCAGCGATTATGTTACCCAGGATTTCATCTTTACTCTAGAGTACTAAGTACCCGGCTTCCAAGTATCATTCATGCACTTTGTATGCACAATGGTGGGCAAATTTCTGTAACTTTAAAGAAATTTAGTGCAGTTCAGACATTTTTGTACAGCCTTTTGGGGGAGGGGGAATTTCCAGATTAAATGGCTAATTGAATTTTGTGCTTCTGAAATGTTGCACTTGTGTTGTAGAATTGTATGAAGATCCTGCATGTTACCATCGTTTCTGTTCCTCTGATTTGCTTATAAAACTTTGAATAAAGGGTTCTTTCATGATTTTATCCCAAGTGTGGGTTTGTGAAATAGTAACAAACTAGTATTACAAAATGTGCAGTGAGAAATTATGCAATCACGTTTAAGTGTTTGTTTTCTTAAAATAATAGTTGTACGAAGGGTTGATCTTGTGAATGAAGCTCCACACTGTGTATATTCTGGAAAAAGAAGTGAGCTCTTTGCGAAACAGCACAGTGCAACACCCCCATCAATGGCAAACTCATGCTAAATCATCAATGAAACTTTTTTTAAATTACAATCTTCCCTCCTTGCACTTCCCCAAACAACTTAGTCAGCAGTGTGACCTCATCAGCTGATATATAGCTCCTCACAATCTGCCCAAACCAATCAATACGGTTTACTGCTGTTAGTAGGTGGAAAAGCCTGAACTTTGAAATGAAATGTTTTACAATGTATAGATTGAAAGATAAAGGTGATAAAAAGGAACTACAATTAAATGCAAGTCAGAAGCCTGAGTATGATTTCTGGTTTGGTCCTGTGAACATTCCCCTCAACGGGACCTTTTCTTTTCATATGCCCACAAAAAAAAAGTCCTGATTTGGTTTCCTGTGGCTGCTGCGTTTTCAAGCCACTGCTGGGGAAATGTCATCTAACTGGTAAGATTTTGTTTTTTAAAAAAATGATTGCTACCTTGTGTATTTGTGGAGTCGTGCCGCGCTGTAAATACTTAACATCAGACTGGGTCCCCGAAACTCTGGAACACTCTTCCTCAAACCCTCTGCCTTGCCCCCTCCTTCCCCATCTTCGGGTCGCGCCTGAAGACTTTCCCCTTTGACCGTGCCCACGGTCACCTCCCCCAACCCCCCGACTCGGCGTCGCGCCCCACAACCGTCGAGCCCTCCGAGATGCCACCCTGCCTGAGAGGTGCTAATGTAGCCGCAAGTTCCTGACGCCTGTAAATGACGCCGTGCTGGTCTTGCACTGGATTCAACACTCTCAAAAGCCACGAGGATCTCGGCGGCAGCAGCAGAGCCGGGCCGGGACGGGCTCGTGTTCTGCACGTCAGCGCCCACCGTTGTGGTCTGCACCGCCTGTCACAACCACCGGGGCAGCCCCGTCTCCCTTCCCGGTGGGGGTGGGGCCCTGGATGCACTTGGATGACTTGCGCCCCCGGTGTAAAGACATTTGAATTTCGCGGGGGTGCTGCCTACGTGCGTGCGTGCGTGCGTACGTAAAGGAGACGGCGGTGGCAGGACGACGTGAGCGTGCTCCCCCCCCCCACACACCCCGCCGCGCGCGCACGCGCTGCATCCGGGTCCCGGCGGCCTGGCCTCTGTGTGGTGCGCGGCTCGGCGGCGGCGGGAAATGGCGACCGAGCGCAGGCGAGTGTAAACACCGGGGCCTCGGCCGCACAACCGAGAGCCGAGCCCAGGCACAGCCCCGGCCCCAGCGGGGAAGACGCCGGCCCCTTCGCTCCCTGCCTTCTGCCTTCCTCCGCCCGCGGGACCGCACGGCCGAGGGAGCAGCAAAAGCCTCGCGACAGCCCGAGTGAGTGAGTGAGTGAGTGAGGGAACTCCCCTCTCCCTCCCTCCCTCCCTCCCCCCAACTGACAAAGGGGAGAGAGAGGGGGAGGGAGGGAGGGAGGGCCGGCGGCCCGACTGCGGGCCCAGTCCTCGGGGCTCGTCTCCGGGCGCTTCGTAGAATTACGAGCCCGAGGGAGAGACGGTGGAAATCGAGGCCCCGGGGGGCGGGGGGGGGGGAGAAGCCGCCTCCTGCGGGAGCGGGAGCGCGGTCCCTGACCTGAGCCCCGGGCTCGTCTTGTGACCGGGGCCCGGAAAGGGCGGGCGGGCGGGCGGTCGGGGGAAGCGTCCGTGTTGTGGTCGAGGGATCCTCGCGCCTCTTGGGATGCGTGCGGTTCGGCGTTCGCGGTCCGAGACCGGTCCGGTTGTTTAGGCCTTTTAACGATCCCCGGACTCGAGTGGCTTCAAGAACAAGCGCCCCCCCTCCCCCTCCCCCACACCCACCATCACCACCACCCGGGCTGTGGGTGGGCGTGTGTGTATGTGTGTGACAGGGGCGGGAGTGGTTGGCAGAGAGTCGCGGTGAGAATTTTTTTTTTGGGGGGGAGGGGGCATGAGAGGGGAGTGGGGAGTAAAATTTAAATCAAGCCGTGGGCTTCTGTAGTCTGCGAGGGTTTTGTTTATGAGAGAAGAGCAAATCAACCTGGAAATCGCGCCCTCACACACCCACTAAATGCTCATTTAAATGCTGTCCCTCTCTCTCTCTCTCTCTCTCTCTCGCTGTGTGTGTCCCTATTGTCGATGTGTTTGAATCTCCTGACCGCGTTTCCTCTCTTGATTTTTTTTAAAAAATGTTGTTTTACGAAGGAAGGGAAGGGGTGTAGTTTAAGATTTTCTTACCTTTTTTTCCCCCCCCTCCACCAACTCCATTTCCTTCACCCCCTCTACCGTTTCAAAGCATCCGCCCCCACTCACCGTCTGTCTGTCTATATTCAGTTGGCACTTTGAAGAGCTGTGAGCTATCAGGATTCAGGAATTTTTTTTCAGAACCTTCCGCCCATTAAAAACCTTGGCCTTAAGGACATTTTTAAACTTTTTCGGCAGAGCAGGATCGAAAGAGGCTCGAAAGTTGTGCCTTGATCATTTCGGTTTGAACGCCGCCCGCGCTAATGCCATGTTTCGGTTTTTTTTTAACATCTTAAATCACCACGCAAAGTCTTGGGTCTTTCTTGGGGGCTGTTTTCTACCGAGCGGAAACATTTGTTGTATAGTCATTTTATGAATGTTTTCCTGAGGTACGTCAAATGGCAACTGCCCCTCGTCGGTCTAGTATTTTTAGATTTAATTCAGAGCACGCTTTCGCTGTTTATCTTGTGGTTTCAGTTGGACTGTGCTTGTAAACAGAAATCCAGTGTATACAAGGTGAAAAATGAATCTTTCCAACTGTTTAGAGTCACAAAGTTGCGTCCATTGCACCCACCCAACCTGTCAGCTATTGTTTTGTTTATGGGACTATTGTTTTGACAGTCGCTTTGACAGCTTTAGATTTGAGCAATATCTTTTAAATTGCAGTAGCAATTTTTCAGGTGAATATGGTGTGCCTCGCCAACGAAACCACCATGTCAATACAGTACATGTCTATTGAATTTTAATAATTGGTACTGTATTTTTACGTTTTTCACTTGGACAAATGTTATATTGTGTAGAATGAGCTCTATTCAAATGTACTTTGGATGGGTTGTGTAGTTGTATCACTTGTACTGCAGCTTTAAGTAAGAGATGATGCATTGTTGTAATTAGAAATTAATAAGTTTGATAACTTGGTGCTCACAAACAAATAGTTTCAAGTGAAATCACCAACATTACGAGTCAGAATGAGTAGTGTTAGGCAGAAGACAGAGTCAGACACTGTTTAGCGCTCAAAAGTTTTCAATATGTGTGAATTAGCACAAGACTAAAAGTGATTCCTGAAATGCTCCTGATTTAAACTTAACACCTGTGTTTATTGTGCAGTCAGTCATATTGTGGGCTTATTCCAACATAAATTTCACAATGTATAAATGCCGTAATAGGCGCAAGATATCTTCTGCACAACCCAAGGATCGGACTAGCAAAACCTTTCCAATTCCCAGGCTGCATTCGTTGCGCCTCTGCTAATGAGGACAGTTTTGCTGTGGCTTCATGCCACCCGAACTGGATTGAGACTGCACAGACTCATTCCACCTGTCAGTGTGAAGGCATTCATCCCATCATTGTAGACTGGATTGGCACCTTGGTCACAAAGGTGAAGGTACGGCATTAACCCGCTGCACCACACACCTTCTCCTGTCTTCCACTACATTATGTTTTCTATTTCATTGTTTTTTGTTTTCACATAACTGCATTAATAATGAAGTATTATGCACTTTGGAAGAAATGTGTGGAAACATTTCATTTACAATGTTTTTTAATGTACCTAATTTTGTTTCTCTACACTGCACACCAGACTTAGTCTTCCAGATGCTGTTCTGTAAGCAGCTGTTGCCTGTATGAGAATTTTGATTGGATTCATTTGCCCTCTATTCTTTCCACCTCTCTGATGGCCAATTTGATTTCAGATGTTGAGAATGGGATTTCCAGAGGGAAAACACATCATGTCTTACTACATCAGTTGGGTGTTTTATTTTCTTTCCCCACTGTATGTTGTCTGGAATTCCCTTGCACGTTACTCCCTTTTTATTTTCAGAACCTTTCTAAAAACCTACCTCTTTAAATGTGGATTATTATCACCTGCGGCTTACCTTACATGGTGATCCGCTCTGTCCCTGTAAAGTACTTCCTTTTTCCGTATATGTACAAGTTCTGTTTTTAATTTTAGTGTTCAAATGACACTGTTGTACTCAAACAATTAGTGTTTTGCAAAACAAAATGTATTTGTTGCTAACAGAATGAATTTAAACCAAATGTTTTGATATTTTGTGTTGTCACTTTAGAGGAAACGTTTATAGCTTTGATCATGCTTAATATTTAAACTTGAATTGTTGCAGTATTTTAAAATACTTAACAGATGTTCTGAAGTCTCAGAATAAAATTTGTTTCAACTTTCTGAACTGTGAAGATTTGTTTTCATAATTCAGGAAATTAATTTGATTTATAAAATAAGTTAATATTCATCTTATGATCTTACATTTTAAATGAAATCATTGCTAATAATATATTGTAAATTATTCCCTGGTACAATATATGTGTAATTGTGAGATTGTGGCCCTATCACCTCCTAGACCATTTAACATTCTCAAAAATCGGTTTAATTTGGGGGTATGGGGTAGAGGGCGAACTTGTCATTCAATTTAAAAATGAAAAAAAAGGGAAAAGTTAAGACTTTTGGGTGTGATTTTGTAATTTTTTTAAAACAGCTGCCACAGCATCGATTTGATTGCTGGCATTTATTTGCAACATGATTTTCAGGAGTGGGACTGTGGTTTGAAATCTAACTGCTGATATATTCAACGTTTTAACATTGAATCAGCGCTAAAGGCGGAGTATAAAATGCCTATAAAACTGCCTCCTGTACATTCTGGTGTTTTATGTATTCTGCAATGTTGCTAGGCCAGTAATCGTTTTCCTCGAAGGCAGCCAGTAACTTGTTATTGATATATCCATATCAAGCCTTAGTAATGTTGGGTAAATTACACTTCAGCTGTCTATCATTTGCATATTTTGCATAAACTAGATGATTGTAACTTACAAATAGGTGCTGTATTTATATTCTAAACTGCAAGAGCTATACGAAAAGGGATTTATGAGCTCCAGTGAAGGCCTGAGAATGAAGTGCTATCTTAAGTTTGTACCCGGTAATCTGTATCTAATTTTTTTACTGCTCTGTCATCAACTTGATAGAAGTGGGATAGATGAAGGCCTAACAAAGGTACTGTACTTCTGTGGGAGATTAAGCCAGCTCGTGTAAAGTGAAATATACTTTCACCACCCACTCAGTATGTGATATTAGGAATTGTGGCAATGGTTTTCTAAATAATTATAATTCTATAATGGATACATGGGAATTATTATTTCCTGGTTGTTTAGTCAAGATGATCTTATGAGTGAATCTCCATCAGTTAGAGCTCCTGTTACATTAGCCTTGATATTACATATTGAATGTTGTGTATAAAAGAGTAGGTTTGAGACACAGAGATGCACCAGCCTTTGGCTTGAAATGTGGAATCAGAGCTTTTGTACAGGTCTAAGGAACAGGTTGCGCCAATAAATAAAAAGAGGAATTGTATTAATTTGTATTGTGTCCCAAATATTGGTGACCTCCACTGCACCTTTGACATTGCTGCAGGTTCTTTGGCTTGCACTGATCAGCAGAGATTTCACACAATAACCGACATTCATTTATAACAAGAAAAACTGTTACCGAAATTATTGGGCACTTCTCCACTTGTAAAGAACACAATTGGAAGAAACTGGAATGATGGAGCCAATTACTAATTAAGATCTTTTCAGTTGCACTAATAATAATAATCCTTGCATTTGATATAGCGCTTTTCACGTCGGGAGGACGTCCCAAAGCGCTTCACAGAACACACTGTAAAGTGAATTGACCGTATATTTGTGGGCAAACGCGGCAGCCAATTGCGCACAGCAATGTCCCACAAACGAGTCGTAGATTGAAAATGACCAATTTATTATTGTTTTGGGTTTTGGAGGGATTATTAGCAACAATCAGATAATTTCTATACATGTATTTGCTGTGAAGTGTAACGAGTACAGAAGAGTCCTTCAAGCAGATCTTAACAGGATATTTCCATTACTTTCAATAATTCTGCCCGTAGGAAGCAATATTGTCATGCTTGCATATTGTTACAAATTCGTCTAGCACTACTGCTTAATGCAGCCAAATATGCCACATTTCTTTGGGAGCTGCTCAGTTTTACCTTGTCTCATTTCCGTGGCTTTCATGGAAACAACTGTACGGCATTATCAGTCTTGAGAATGCTGTACTTCTGCAAAGCTGTGAGAATTCCATTCACGTGCTTGACATGGACATTGTTGCATGATTTAGAGTTGACTTGTAATCTGTGTAAAACCACTTTAGCTGGTGGACATGAATGTCGAAAGTAAATAAATATTTTCTTGGCCTTATTCTGTAGGTGTAGCATAATTGATGAGAGCTGTGGAGGTTTCTGTTGCCCGATGAAGGTATAGGCTTATAAGAAAGTTAAAGATTTAGAAAATGGAAATATTGGCTTAGATAGAGCAGAGTCCACAGGGAATGGGCCCATTTTAAAGTAGGGGGAAATCCTAATGTAGAACACATTTTGTAGTTGAAAAACAGATCATTTTACTATATAATCTGCAGGCCAGGGTATGTAGTGTTGGTTTGAAGTTTTTTTAATATCAAAATACAATCTGGAGTATCATTGTTTAGAAATATTGTTTAGCTAACATAAACCACGATATTAAAATGAGCAAAGTGGTTAGGATGCCTTTTTTATTTTCCTGGCACCTACCATCTTTCAACAAACTAGTGTACAGTTAATGAGAATGTGATATGCTTTGGGTAAATTAAGCTGCAAAGTCAGCTGTAATGGATGTTGCTGTAGCTTCAAGCTGCAGCTCTTGAAAATCCACATTTTCAAAGTATGGCTTTTCTGTAAAGTTTGCATGGGGAAATAGATGCAGATTAAAGTGCATTGCAGTGTTACTAACTTTTTATTGTGAGGTGGTAAATGCTGGAAAAGATGCATTCTACCCTTTTTCAAATGTACAGTGTATTAATACCACTATGGATTGGGTGTCGCATGATAACTTTAGAAATAGTCCTGAAATACATTAAAAGTATCATACAAATGCTATGAATTGCAACTTCTAATGGTTACCTAATATCATAATGTATTTCAAATCCCTCTCTGGCAGCTCCCTACCTCTCCGACCTCCTCACTCCCTATCCACCACACGGAGTCTACGCTTAACTGGTACCGGCCTCCTACTCGTCCCTCACAACCTCCGCCCCACCATCGGAGGTTGTGCTTTCAGCCACTACGCCCCGAAACTCCGAAACATTCCATCAATCCTTCCCCCTTGCCCCCTCTCTCCCCTTTTTCAAGTCCCGCCTGAAAACCTTGGAGTTGATTACGGGCTTGGACTACTTCTGGATACCTGTATGTACAACAACAACTTGCATTTATATAGCACCCTTCTGGCGGGGTGGTATCCCGGAGAGTTTCAAAGGCACGTTAAGCATGTGTGGGGCATGTTAAGTTTCTGTTAACTTGTCAGATTGTCAGAATTTGTCCCAGAATGGTTTGCGCCATTATGATCATGGCTTAAATGTAAGAATAGTCGTGAAATCAAATTGCTAAAATAATATACTGTTATTTCCCGGTAATTACATGTAGGTTATCATTCACTTGGCTTCACTTCATGTCAATAATTGCTAAGCCTTCACTAAATCTATCATATAGTGCTGTTGTGCTAAGCAAATAGTGTAAAATGTTTTCCCCAGAGGAGATCCCTAGCATTTGTTAAACTAAATATTGAAAAACAAACATTATTAAGAACAAACTTTGACTTGCAGCAATAGATTTTGAACAAACTTTCTTCCCCTGGTGGAGCTGGCTGGTATTGAAGTGTGCAAAAATAGCTTGAGGGTGACTGACTTCATTAACTATTTACTCACGACTGTTCCCACCACACTTTTTAATGCCAACCAGCTGCGTTAAAATCTGAAGTTGATTGTAACTCCCTTCAGGTGCATCAAGGGTGAGTCTCTCAGGTCAAAGATAAGGTAACTATAAAATGAGAGAATAAAAACAATGATAGGATTGATGCACTGTATGAGTCCTATTAATGATTAAAGACTGGTACATTACAGTGTTGTTCATCTAGTCTATAATCTAGTAGTCCCAGTAGATTCCTTGTTTTACCATAACTGACTGCATTTTATCTACTGACTGAATCCAATAAAGTCATGAAGTTCATTCTACAAAGTGAAGGGAGAAGGTCCTAGGAACCCTAGGAAAATTCCAGTTTTTGTTTATATAAATGTTTTAAGCAAGCTACACCCTGCTACTCAGCTGGCAAATAAACAGGCTAAAGGCCTGTCCAAATTAGAGTTTTAAAATTTTTGCATAACTTCCAGTTATTAGACTGATTTCTGTCATCCTGTGTTCACTTTAACCCATAATAAATAAGTCTGAGTAACTTTTTGCTGTTAATTTTTTTTAAAAAAAGGGTCTTGGGTTTTTTTTTTGCTTTGGAGGGCTTATATATGTCAAAGTAGCTTCCTTGTCGAATTATCAAGATATTTTACAAGTAGCCCTACGTATTACTTACTTTAGGGTTTAATCTTTGTCAATCTATAACTATCCACAATAGTTTAGTCTTGATTGTATAGGAAATATTACGTGGTAAAATAGATAACAAATCCATCTAAAGTAAGCCAAGACAATTGGAGCAGAGTGCCTCAATTGAAAATAGTGAATTGTACATTTTGATCAGTCACACTACCAGGAAAGCCTTCTTTATTTGTTGTTTATTCACTGGTTGGATAGTTTATTCCTAATCCTAATATACCCACTGAGTTATGGTTATATAACAGTTATGGTTATTGAAAATAAATTGACATGATATCATAATGTACAAGAGGGATGAACTTAGTTGGACCAGTTTATATTAGAATGTGTTAGAGCACAGAAACTGGCCACTTGGTTCATGAAGTCTTCACTGGAATTTTTCTCTGTTTGAGTCACCTGTTTGCTCACTATACCTTGTAATCTTCTTTACAGGTACCTAACTAATAATTAGTTTTAAAAGAATTGATGGACTTTTCTTCCACAGTGGGATAATCTCTGACTTCCTTTGCTGGGTTAAATGATGTTGAACTTATCGTTACAATAGGCTATGTTATTGTTTATAACATAAATGTTTATTTGCTCTTCTCTCTTGTTTAAGATTACTGTGCTACCAATGACGGCTTGAGTGTTGGAGCCAAGATTTTGATTGAATGTCAAACTGATGAGCTCTGTTTTTGTTGGTCCAGAAATATTCTGGTAAATTCTCCAGCCAGAATGTGGAGAGAAATCATTAGCTGTAGGCCAGTGAGACCACGTGTTTTGTTGAAACGGCTGCCTGTTTGCTACATTCCTAACCAGACCCGCCGAGAATGCTGTGGCTACCTCCTTTTAACATTTACCAGCTTGTTTTTTGGCCACTCTCACAGTGAACAGTGATTTAATATTATTACTGTGCTTACATTAGCCGTATGTCCTGCTATTTTAAAACAGCTGTATGTAGTGCGATTTGTAACAAACAATACTATCTTAAATATTTTTTAACACAGGACGAAAAGCCTGTCTTGGAGTTGCACCTTCCATGAGTCATTTAATCATGAACACCTTTATGGCAGCTTGAATTAAGTTCTCAGTGAGGCATGTTTCTTTGCCTATCGTGCCCTGTCTTTGCAGAGGGCAACTAACTAAATAATTTGGTAAGAATGCAAAATTCTTACCACTGTTTGTTCCAAGTTTTGGAACAAAATTGTTACATCAATCTATAATAATAATAATAATCCTTACATTTGAGATAGCACCTTATCAAGTGTTCGAGACATCTCAAAGTGCTTCACAGAATATACTGTAAAATGAATTGACTGTATTTTGTGGGCAAAATCTACCACAGGGATCTTCAATAACTGATGTAAATTTCAGCCCTTTTAAGGTTCATACTACGATTTGGCTGCAAATCACAGGACATCTTAATTCTGCCTTCACTGAGTAGAGAAGGTTGGAGGACGGGGAGTCGGAGAGAGAATGAGGCATGGAGATGCTGACCTGACATACAAAAGGCACAACAGAGCCTGAAGGGATCCAGGTAGGGATGTGGTTAAGGGATGGGGAAGGATGGTTGTGGGGAAGAAAGAGTAGCTGTAGGTGGGGCGAGGTACAGGATGAAGCATGGGTGATCGGATTCTTAAATTACTATGTGTTTTAAAACGACTTTCTTGTGACCAAAACTAGTAATAATTGTTGAAATTCTGGCATCTGGAAAACTGCACAGTCTTGGTTTGTGTGAAGCATTTTGCTTAAAACTACATTATGAATAAGACTCTCAAATTACAAAAACTTGCATTTATAGGGCACCTCTCACTCAGGGTAGCGTCCCAGAGCATTTGACAGTGGCAGAGCACGACACTGTGCTGGGGAAGGAGGAAGGTCACCGTAGGTATGGTCGAAGAGGAGGTTCTTCAGGCGTGACCTGAAGATGGGGAAGGAGGGTGCAAGGTGGTGGAATAGAGCAGTTTGGGATTAGCTGGTAGGCTATTGGTGTCTGAAAGGAGGAGGATGGAGTTGGAGTTACAGATCAGCCATGATGGCGGAACATGCTCGAAGGGCTGAATGGCTTACTCCTGTTCCCATGAAATAGTGTATTTTCAGTTGGTCTGTTCGATTCTGTGTATTGGCAGAGCGGGAGTCTTTTTTTTCCTAAACTTGTTGAAATTGAGAAGAGACTACTATAAAATATACTATAAAATATAGCTGTAGCAGATCTGTTGCAATGCTGGGAGTAATTTGATAATATCCAACAGATGTACCATGTTCTTTTCATGTATTCATTTCACCTTGCCTGAACATGTAAGCATGGTTCCAATTCTGGTGACTTGCAGAATCTACCCCGAAGTGTGAATTCTTGCTTTGGCAAGCGTTCTTATGAATGGGACTGGCACTTTCTTTCCAGAGAGACTATTAAGCAGAGAGCTTCTCAAAATGTCCACCGATTTCTGTCATCCTGTGTTCACTGAATTGATTCGCATCAGTGAAAATAGTCGCGAGCTGGTCTGCCCATGTTGGTGGATTCAAAGCCATTCAGAATTAACTATGACGTGCACATTCACAGAGAAAGCTAGTGACCAGATGTGCTGGCACAACATTGCAGTCAGTTTACAATGACTAAAGACACATGATTTTTGGCTGGTTGGTGTGGAAGAAGAGAGGAGAAAGCCAGGGAAAAAAAATCTTTGCAACATCCATTTTACTTCAGCTGTCATCAAAGAGCTGCAAAACAACGAATGTTAAACCCCCCCTCCAGCCTATAGTATGTTTCAACATGTGTGGTTTGGCAGAGAAAAGAATGCAAATCTATTGGCAACTTCTCGAGAGGTGATTTTTGGGAGATTCTTCTTAAAAGTGGAATTTTAATTTAGCCATACATTTTCCCTCACATCCTCAGAGAGGGAGAGAGAGAAATCTGCAGCACAGCTGCTTACTGTTACGTTTCTCCTTCCCATCAGCGTCAGATGATTTAATTTGTGAAGTGCATCTCTGCACATCTGTTAATCAAATACTGTACTGTGTGGTTCCTATGGTGGTTAGAAGCTTAATTCCATCTCCCCAGTGGCTTATTGGACAAATTGCACTATTAGCCACAAGGAGCGGATGTCTGTGCTGAGTTACTCTTTTTCTAAGGTGGCAGAGGGAATGTTCCAGTTGATCTCTGTGTCTCCTAACTGAGGAGATAAAGAAGATGCTGGCAATGAAAGTAGAATCAGGTTCAACTGTGACAGCCCCAAGATCAGATATTTACTGTCCAAACTCCTCATGATTGCCAGAGTTACTCAGGGGACCATAGCTCCTTGCATTTGGTATAGCACCTTATCACGTCGTTCAGATTTCTCAAAGCGCTTCACAGAATGTACTGTAAACTATGTGTCGCTATACAAATGTAATGCTGTTGTTCTATGGGCGATATGCGGCAGTGAATTGCTCACAACAGTCTAATAGTGCTGCCGAATATTGCAATTTGACCAGTGTTTTCGTTCTGTCGCTCTCTGTATTGTCCATGGTCTGTCTCTAAAATGAAGTCTGTTTCTGAACGTCGTGCCACATATTTCAGGTCTGTTCTTGGAAGTGGGGGCCACCACCCCTCATTATTTAATTGCTAATTCATTGTTTGTAATTAAGTGATGAGCAGATATCAATCATCCCTGTGCACTAGTTGCACTTTCCACAAATCATTTTTGCAAATACAAAAATAAATCCCATCAAGAAAACTGTCGGCACTTGAATCCAATGGTTCTATTGTGAGTTTGGTTTGAAGCCTGTGATTTGAGGTCAAATTGTGTTCCATCGTAAGGCAAGCAACTGACCATGGTACCACAAAAAAGGGCTTTGGGAGAAATATTAGCCGGGGGTTTGGAACCAATCCAAAGGTTGCGTCGTTCAGAAGCCGTGAGGGGAAGACAAAAGAGGGGAGCGGCCTGACTGGTACAGGCAGCAGTTGAATGTTTCACTTGCTTCAGCTGAGGTTCACTTGCAGCAGGCTTTGATCGACTGTTCAGCTGAATGGTCTTAATATTGGTGTTGGATTTCAGCAGTTCCAGGGCTCCCATGAGAAGAGAGAAAGAGGCCTTACTAAGGTATCTGTTGCCAAATATGTGCTGTGTAGCATGGATGCTGAAATCCAATGAGGTTCTAGTGTGTTGGACCTATGAAGAAATTCCAGCGGCTTGGCACCTGTAGAAAGGAAACTTGTGGTGGTTCAGAAGAGCCAGGACGCAGGTTTCTTTGTTTTTGTGCTTCTAGCAATTGACTCCTGTAGGACGTCAGACAGTTATTTATCCTGTCTTCCATGTGGTAATTGCCTGTTAGTTACTGTGCACTCTAGGCAATGTCTGTCTTTAATTTAAAGAATGTAAAACAGGCATGAATGTCTGGACCTAATTTACAGTAACGGACTACAGTCCAGAACTTTTGTCTTGTTCGCCAGATCTAAAGTAAAACGTATTCCATTATGTTGTGGAACTTCACGTGTTAGTAAAATACTGATATAAATTAAATAGAAATACGTCTTCTTTGAAAAGCCGCTTCAGTTTGTTCTTGTAACCCTCTAAAGGAATCTTGAGTGTAGAGGGACTGGATGCACAGTGGTTAGTGCACTGGGGTGAACATTTCAAATCAGGTTTGTCTCCTGTTGAATGCAAAGTACAGTCGTGTGAGAGAATCAGCTGGACTCACTGTGATGTGCTGGGCCTCACTGTCTCAGGTTATAGTGAAGGATGGCTGCACCCGGGGAATTGTCTTTAGAATAGGATGAGTTATGTTCATCCAAGAGTGATCAAATAAAACGTTGTAATACTTGTCTCCCTTCCACCACAATGGCCCATTTGCTTTCCATACGTGACATTTCCTTAGTCTCTCAGCAGCCTAGGAACAATCATGCTATGAATGGTTCAATAATCTGTCTGTACTTATCCTGATAATTTTATTAAGAAATCTCCTACCCAACATGCAAATGCCTTGTGCATCTTTCTGGCCGAGTAGAGTAATGCTTTGACGTTGTGTTGAGTAAAGAGAACTTCTAATTCTAAATTCTTGTTCCCAGCAAATAAATCCAAGTCTTATATCTATATTTTAGTTATGTACTGTGAGGTATTTGTTTTGGTAATTGGATGTGTGTGCGGTAAATATCTAATGGCTAATTTGGTATTTTTAAAAATATATATATTTTCATTTCTAATTTAATTTTCTCTTCTCAGGTTTCGGACCACTAGACTTGTCTGCATAGCACCCTGTTCATTCCTGATGCCAAAATAAGCAGTACTTCTGTCCTGCGCTATTTCATTTCCTAGACTGTAAGTATTACTTTTTTAAAAAATAAATAAATCTCTGAACCGGGTGAGACTTTGAATTGAAAGTAAAATGGAGAAGTTCGAATGCCTTCGTTTCGTTTACGTAGTCTCCTGTAAACTATCTGCAGGTTATATAGTTACAGACTGTTACATCATGAAAAGAGGCAAAATGGCCCAATTAATCAGTACTAGTGTCTATACTTTTTCCCTCCTAATCCTCTCTCCAGTATACCTCTATTCCTTTCTCACTATGAAGTATAGTGAAAGACAAGAAGAGACCAAACTTTTTGGTTCAAATGTAACGCATCTTTGTTTTATGTATTACGAAGATCTGTGGGGTTACCCTAATGTGACTTATAAAATCCTGACAGCCTGCAACAATTGATTTCATGTGCTTCCCTTATCACTAAGTAAACCAATAATGCAGATAATTCATGGTTGTGGATCTGAAAATATTATCAAGGTTTCTGTAACAAGTGTTCCTAGATGATTGTAGACACCCAGGTCTGGCAGACTGTACCAGTGTTGGAATACACTCATTAGTGGTTTGCCAGTCTCTTTCCCATTGATCCAGTGCTTTGTTGTTAACACTCTGATTACATTCAATGTAAGAGATCCAATGACAGACACTGGATGAAAAGAGAAGGGAGTTTTTCTGTTTACCTAGTTTATTTGTGACGCTCTGAAATGTTTTGGTGTGATAAGGTTCTCTAAAAGTGCAATTTCTTTAAAAATCTGTAACTCTTGGCTCTAGTGATGCTATCTGATTGTGTATTTGCTGATGTTGGATCTTAATTCAGTCCGTGTGTGTTTTTCTATCTGTATAGTTGTACATGTGACACTTTGCAAGAATGAGGCTGAGAATGCGGAAGGGTTCTCAGCAGACAACCCCCGTCATAGGATCAAGACCAGGACCTGAGAAGGCCAAACGGAAGCGCTCTGATGTAGAAGACACAATACCAGCGATGGGTGCCAAGCCAATTAAGAAGGAGACTGGTTTACTCTCATCAATAAAAAGGCTTATCCGAGGAACAAAGGTGTGCTTACACTTCTACCCCTGGTCAGGCTGTGGGACATAATCTATAACACTTGCAAATAGATCAGATAATAAAAGTAGCCAGTGACATTAATATCCAGTTTTCATGAGGAAAAGCAGAGAAAGAGAGAGTGTGAGTTGCTCAATGATACTCTCTCTCCGTTATCCCTCAGTATGGTTAACTTTCAAATTGCAATGGCTCATATTCAATAGAACCATTGACATTTTCTCAGTTCACTTTTGAATTCAACCTAAGGTCTACATCACTGCTGATTCTCGGTCTTTAGTTAGCATGCCCAGAGTGTTGCACATCAAAATATATCCATAATCCAAGCTCGGGATTTGGGGAGGTGTGGGAATTTGTCTTATCCTCTTGTCATTGCTGAGGGACTCTTGCTGGTTGTGAGCATTTCCAAGCGATATGTGGGGATGGATTGATGTTAATCTTGCCTGTTCAACACTCAGACGGAGCCAGAGAAGCCTCCCAAGAAAAAATGTCGAGTTGATTGCGACCTTGATGATAACATGATCACATCAACGCCTCCCGTAGGCACGAGACCCAACAAACCAATCTCCAGAGTAAGACGGAAAAGCCCTGTAAACGGAGGTTAGTCCATGTGGTTACTTCTGACTAAATATCTACGTGTCTCAGTGTTACCACAGGCTTTCTTTGCCTGGTAGCTTTTGTGCACTGTGTCACTGAGCCCATCATGTATCGTTTCATCACCTCACACTTACATTTGGAGGAATATTACTGTGAGTGGTGTTGTGAAGATTAGCTCAGTAATGTGATTCACTAAGTGCAAATGCTCCCTATTTATATCGTTTAGGCCATATGACCTATTATGGAATCATGAATATTGTAGCTAAGCCAGCACTAGTTGGGTTAATTTAATTGAGTTCACTTAACAGGAACAAAATGACAAAAGTCTCAGTCAGACCTTAAAGACAATACACAAACACTCCATTGGTCTGCCTTGCTGGTTGTACCGTAACTACTCTTCGATTTTCTTTAGAAACTGGTGACTACAACAGCAAACAGAATGGGAAGCTACCTACTGTTGACCCCCTCAGTCCTCCGCGGACCGCTTTACTGGGGACCATCTTTTCTCCGGTGTTCAGTTTCTTTTCACCAGCAAACAAAAATGGTGGGTATTGCCTAATACAACTGTCTGCGGGTCTGTTTCTGGGGAGTGTGTGGGTTGGGGGGGCGGGTGGATGGTGGGGAGGGGAAGTTACTTGTGTGAATTTTTCATCTGGAAATATTTCTGTAGCTATTCTAGTGGCTCTGTGAGATTATTCAGTGAGAGACTGAGTGCTGCAGATCACAGCTTTGAGGCCAATGCTCTGTGCTGAGTTAGCTCAGCACAGAAGCTTTGCTACAACAACAACAACAACAACAACAAGATTCCATTTATAAAGCGCCTTTCACGTCAGGAGGACGTCCCAAAGGGGTGGTGGGGGGATGGATTGGTATAGAAGTCAACGCTTGTAACGGGTTTGGGGTTAGCACAAAATGTGTAAGATGCAATTTCTGCGTGTATAATATGGCTCGAACCCACATACGGGCACTAATAAGATGACCCAGTCTTGAATTGCTTTCTCTTTGGCAAGCTCACGAATATGATGGCTGCATCAACTACACTGAAACGTGCAGCCCACCCTCCACGTGGGGTTAGAACAGCGGGGATATAAGCAGGAGGAGGCGACTCAGACATTCTGCTAGCCTGTCCTGCTATTTTATCAAAATCCATCAGACCTTTTTAATACCGTTTTCCTGCATTTTCTCCCATCTTTCTCCCAATCGTCTTGATCCTGCAGCCACTTTGTGAGCTGATGTTCAGCCCACATTGTTCAGGGGCTGTCCTCAAGCCAGTCAACCAAATAGCAGCCTTGCCAATTGTCACAAGAGCGGCTGCTTGTGGACATTTGTTTGTCCTGCCAGGCAGTTCCTTCTACCCGAAGGGCCTTGATTTGGGGTGAACTGAACCACGCTATGTGTAGGAGAACGAAAGAGAGAAAGTTGCCACACAAAACAGTTGGTGTGACAAAACCTTTTTTGTTGTATCAGGCACAAGCATGTGTTGCAAAACTGTTATCTCTTCGTGGGGACAAATGTTGCTCCTTACAGCGCGGGAAAGGGAAGCCACATCATGGGGTGATGCCAGACACTGATGTCTCCTGTGTGCTGCACTGCTTTGGTCAATACCCACGGTATGTGGAGTCGGGACGTGCTCCCGACGTGAAAGGCGTGAAGCGACTCCAGGGTTGTATACAATTATACAATGTATGCAATTGAAATTTTTGTTGTTTGTTAACTTCATTCAAAGAATGAGGACAATTAATCTTTTGGTAAGTAAATCTTCCTCTCCCTCTCCTTGCACCCATGTACACTAATGTTTGTTTGCACTTGTGTTTTCAGGAACATCCGGTTCTGATTCTCCAGGTCAGGCCGTGGAGGCTGAAGAGATTGTCAAACAGCTGGACCTGGAGCAGGTTGATGAGATCACCACCAGCACTGCAACATCAGCCACTGGTGGAGCTTACCCCAGCCCGGCAGTGATCGCACAATCGCCCTCCCCTGACAGCAGCTCAAATGACACCGAGGACGAGAGTGCCCGTGAGCTACGCCCACTTCCAGGTACGGTAGGTTTTGAACAGGCAGGTCGTGGCAGGCTGCGTTTGTGACGGGCACCATTTTGATTCAGAAACTCTGGAGTTGCTTCACTCCCGTTTACAGTTCTGATTTTTAAGTGCAAGGCTAGATCTTCATGATTCATATTGGAGAAGGTGCCAACCAACTGTTGACCACTCTCCCACCCCGGTTCCTGCTGCACTTGCACTTCCTGTTGGCACTGGTGATGTCTACTCAGACATCTATTGAGGGCAAATAAAGCTCGTTGAAGAGACAAGCAAAGCAATAGCTAGACAAAGCTCATGGGAGGAAGTGAAGGATTGACAAATTGCCATAGGATCTCCATTGAATGTTAATTTTAGACACAGTCAGAAGCTTGAACGTGTAATTCCAGGCAGTCGTGTATCTTTGGCGGGATGTTATGGTGGGACGTCCTCCTGACGTGAAAGGCGCTTTATAAATGGAATCTTGTTGTTGTTGTTGTTGTTATGACATGGAATAACCAACGACGTCTCTTAATTTTTAGCACCGGAGCTGAACGTGACTGGAGTAGAGCTGTGCAAGGCCATGCCTCCTCCCAACTCTTACCCAGAACCGACCGCTCACCCCGAGGCCAGCTACGAGGAGGACTGGGAGGTCTTTGATCCGTAAGTCAAAGCGGAGCAATCTAAATTCTGCAAAGATATTTACAAGCAGTTATTCTGCATCAGTGGGGAGTGGGGATAAGCCTCGAGTGGTGTCACCAATACCTTCCTGGTCTGTTGTAGTGAAATCACTGACGGACTTCCCTACGTCATAACTGAGCTGCCTGTTGGAATGAGTTGTATCTGCAGGTTTTAAAATAGAAGGGCAATTATACACACTTAGTGTTCGCCTGCAATGAAGTTTCGTAGATTGTGCTGTTGCTGAAATGCGTGAAAAATTGACTGCAGTGCTGCTCTCTGGTGGCCATAGCAATGTGCAGGTTTCACAGGATGGGGTGAAGATAATTAGAAAATCCTTTGCTGCAGTGTTTGAGGACTGCTTCCGGCATCGAAAAAGAGCATAAAATTCGGGAGAAACTTGCAGCGATTGATCCCCTTTTTAATGTACCTGAGTTAGTGTTCTTTTTTTTAAAAAAAAATATAAATTGACCACTTTGCTTTGCTTCTCTCAATACAGTTATTTCTTCATCAAGCACGTCCCGCCGCTGACTGAGGAACAGCTCAGCCGGAAGCCAGCGCTCCCTCTCAAAACAAGAAGTACACCTGAATTCTCCTTGGTTCTAGACTTGGTGAGTGATAAATCGGGCGTTGAGTGCCCCACTTTTCTCTGTGTGTGTGTGTGTGTGTGTGTGTGCGTATCTAAGATGAGTTAAGTTTCCCCCGTTCGGCTTCTGACCTGCAAAGCTCTTTTGAGATGTTATGCTACGTGACGAGCTCTATAAATGCAAATTGTTGTTGCTTGTGATTTAAAGCTGCCTCGTGAGATCGATACAATATTGAACTTGACGGTGCCTTCAGCTCCCCTCTCGACTCTCTACCCCCTCCTCGCACCCTCCCTTCCCTCCCTTGACCCTGACCATTTCCCCCCTGCTCGGGTCCTGACCCAACTGTACAGCGCCTTGGGACGTCCTCCCAACGTGAAAGGCGCTCTATAAATGGAATCTTGTTGTTGTTGTTGTTGAACTGTGCTCCTGTTTCCCTGGTAGGATGAGACCCTGGTGCACTGCAGCCTCAATGAACTGGATGATGCAGCACTTACTTTCCCTGTCCTTTTCCAGGATGTAATTTACCAGGTGGGTGAAATTCCATGTGTAAATCGGGTGCATGATAGAGATAAATGCAGAAAGTAATGGTATTTAGTTCAGAAAACCTCTTATAATGTAGAGCATTGTCTATTGTCTTGCGGGCCTTGGGTATTGAATTTTTTTGTTGGTGGTGATTTGTGACGTCTGTTACAATCTGGCCAAGGTACATCTGTGTTCTCTTCATCTTGCCCCCTCTTTGCGTAATAATAATAATACTTGCATTTTATATAGCGCCTTATCAAGTCATTGTAATATATTGTAAAGTGGAGTGACTGTGTATTTTGTGGGCAAAACGCAGCAGCCAATTGTGCAAAGCAGTGTCCCACAAACAGTTGTGGGTTGAGTGTCCAAATTATTCCTTCTGTACAGCTCATTTAAATAAATTATTCCACGGTCTCCTCTCCTTCCCTCCTCCCTCCCCCCACGCGCACACACACACACACACACACACTCACCCAAAAGCTATATAAAATGTACCGTGTCTTTCAACCAATAACTTAATAAAAATGTCGTGCTTTAGTCCATTCTCATCATGGTTACACTTGATTTGTAGCAGACAACTCGATCACTGTTGCAACCCTTTTCACCTCCTGTAGGTGTATGTACGGTTGAGACCCTTCTTCAGGGAGTTCTTGGAACGGATGTCTCAGATTTATGAGGTGAGTTTGAAGCTACAGCACTGCCACTTGACCTTTCCTTGGCTTGCACACTGTATCCCTTCACTCTGCTCACTTGCAGATTTCCTAGTGGGGACATGGCTTAATACTGTCAACCCCACTCGCTGTTTTAGCTTCTAACTTATAGCTCAGGAACTCTTCAGAGGATTGAGCCTGGAATATTCACTTCTAATTAATAGTCTGTTCCGAATTCACCGTTTTACTGATGTGCTAAAATAAAGGAATGCAGTGTGAGCTGCAGACACCTAGCTGTTTAGGTCAGAGGAATTTATTCCTCTGACCTCCTGACGTGAAAGGCGCTCTATAAATGGAATCTTGTTGTTGTTGTTGTTGTTATTCTCACATTCCTGTTCCTTGTGATCGCACCAGGGGTTGTATTATAGGCTCCCTTTGATATATAGCCTGATCAAGTCTTTCAGACGTCTCAAAGCGCATCACAGAATATACTGTAAAGTGAATTAACTGTATATTTTGTGTGCGAAACTCGGCTTATATTCTCATGTGGATCTCTACTAACCCGAAACACAGTGTGCCCAACTTCCACCATGAAAAATAGCTGACCTCCCGGCATCAGGTCACCACTCTGACGTAATTTCTTGTGCATAGAATCCTACAGCACTGAAGATTACCATTCGGCCCTTCAAGCCTGTGTCGGCTGTTTGAAAGAGCTACAGGCTCTGGCAGTAACATCACCAGGTGGCAGACATGAGCAGCCTCCGCATTGCTGGTCAATCTTTCTCTCCCGCTCACTTCAATCCTGTAGAATTGTAAGCTTGTTAAAGGGAATAAGCACTGATCAGTAACATGGGAATTTCACTAGTAATTTTTATTCTGGGAAACAGGAATTTAATTCCTGTATGTATCGTTGGTGTTCTTGTAACACACTGCCCTATTGTACTGTTTGTGCTGCATCTAAACCTTGTTTTGCTGCTGTATTACGTTTTCAGGTTCCATCTTTCTAACCCAGTCTTGCTGTTCTTGCAGATTATTCTTTTCACTGCCTCTAAGAAAGTCTATGCAGACAAATTGCTGAATATTCTGGACCCTAAAAAACAACTTGTCAGGTAAGTATTGAAATGTGTGTGGGGTAATAAAGGGTGTGTCAGTCTGTATCCTATTTTCAGCATAAGAACCGCAAGTAAGTGGGCATCTTGTAAAATTAGTTGTATAAAATTAATTAAATCCTGTAAAATGCTATGATCCTGTCAGCCAACTGAATTAACATCATGCTTAATGCTGCACCTTTGCTTGTTCAGGCACAGACTCTTCCGTGAGCACTGCGTGTGTGTTCAAGGGAACTATATCAAAGATCTGAACATCCTCGGGAGAGATCTGTCTAAGACCATCATCATTGACAACTCTCCACAGGCCTTCGCGTACCAGGTTAGTGCAGACGAGCAAAGTTTTTTTGTGTGGTGGGAAGGGGAGAAATTTTAGTGTGACTGTGAATATTCACTCAGCCGCTCATTGTCAGAGGTCCCGTCTTTCAGGTGATACCTTAAAACGCTTTGTGGCGTTCTCCCAACGTGAAAGGCGCTATATAAATGCAATTGTAGGAACGGTTTCGGAGCAGGATTCAAATGTTTGACCTTAAAAAAAAATGTGCATTATTATTGGCATTGTGTGAGTGTTGCAAAGTGTAAACGTTATATAGTATTCTGCAAACTAGTCTAGTCATCTGGCTGTGCATTATAATGTCTCCGGTTCATGAGTGTAAACCTGACTGAATTAGCGGTGCTTGTTCTTACAATCATTGCAAAACCATTCTCTCTTTCAGCTTTCCAATGGAATTCCTATTGAGAGTTGGTTCATGGATAAGGGTGACATGGAGCTTCTGAAATTGATTCCTTTCCTAGAGAAGCTTGTAGAACTGGTAAGAGATGCATTAGAGGGCAGCAGCCTGTTAGAGGCAAAAATTAATTCACCGAATTGAAGTAACACGCACATTTTTAAGCCTTACCGTGACCCCTGCTGGTTGCTAAAGTTCCACAAGGTAATTTGTTGGGATTTTGAGCACACAGTCCAGACTGACATCCCAGGGCATTGCTGGGAGAACACTGCGCTGTCGGAGTTGTTATACCAAGGTCCTGTCTGCCTATTCAGGAGAACATTAAAGATCCATGGCACAATTCACAATCAAAAGAAAGTTTTTTCTATTGCCTTAGGCACCAGTCCTCCATGTAAATCGGTCATCCAGCTATGGCTATCCATCCAGTTCTGCAGTGCATATTAGCTGCCATGTCAAAATACAGTCATTACACTGGACGGTAATTATCCCAGACACACTCGGATGTTTTGATAGGACAGACATTGTAACAGATACAATGATTGTATTATGCAATATGACACAAAAGAGTTTCAGGACATTTTCTTTAAAAATAACAATTTTGAATAAAAATGCTTTTCTTTCAGAACGAAGATGTTCGACCTCACATCAGAGAGAAATTCCGTTTGCATGATTTGCTTCCTCCAGATTAAGGACTTGGTGCCAACAGTCTCTCGGATTGGTGGGGGGTGAGGGAGGGAGGGGGAGAGGGGAAGGTTTGGGGCCGAGGTGGAGGAGGAAGAGACAACATAAACAGGCTCCTTTGGACTAAGACATTGCCATTACTGTTGAAATTTGCATTTTGTACCTCGTCTTGTTTTTCTGGTCTTTGGCACCCAAAGTTACCCAAGGGTTACAGAGTGAGGTTAGTCTACAGTTTTAGATGGGTCAGAACCTAAAAGGATATCGCAGATTTTTTTAAATAAAAAGAAAATTTAAAAGAAACTGTAAATGCAGTCAACTCTCCAAACGCAGATCCTGATGGCACATATATATATATCTATATATCTATAATATATATACACACACACACACACGCGCACACAGAGCTCGCTCTCAATGTTCTGTTGTCCACTTGGTGTGTTGAAGCTGTCTGCCGGATAGCGAGTTTGAAATGCTGTAGTCTGTTGCAATACATGTTGATGAGACTTTCGCTGTATTAGCTGTAAATGTTTTTAGCTCTTTGTTATTTTTTTCTTTCTTGTGAAACAATCAACTATTTCTTATAAAGTACGGGGGAATCTTGTTACAATGCGGTTGACAGGATCCGACCATTTATGCTTGCGTTCTAGAGCAGCCAGTAACCAAGTCAGCACTTCTGTGTCTGTCACTTTGTGTGTGTGTGTGTGTGTGTGTGTGTGTTCACAGAAAGCTGGCTGGCTACTCTTGCAATGTACTGTTTGATCTGTGTGGTGGGGAGGGGAAGAAAAGGCCTTTGTGGAAGTCCATCATATCAGGGTCCATAACTTTATATATGCAGCAACACTGTATTGAAGGCAGTTATTGCGAGGTTCCCTTGTACTTCAATTTCCCCCACCAGCATTTTGTTCAGCCTATATTATCACGGGTTTACATGCAATGCAACAGAGATGGAAAATCAGTATTTTCTCCCCTCTGTATTGGTGCTTTAAAGTGGGTCCACTTCCACTCAGCGACGATGGGTCTCATTTCAACAGGAATGGCCAGTAAATGCATTTCTACGGTTTTAGAATTTGTTTTCCCCCCTCCCCCCGTTTATTAAGTCAAAGTCCAGTTACAATGGCATTCCTTTTAACTATGATGTAGTGTAGATTCTCCCCACTCCCAGCCACAAAAAATATTTTTTCCTAATTTGAAATCCCAACTTCCTGCGTTGTCTGTCTGTGAAGTAATGTATATTTGTTTAAAAAGAATTAAATAAAGAATCTATAGCTTAGTCAAAAATTAAAGTGAATCCATAACATGCAACTTTATTTATATTTGAGAACTGAAGCATTCGCCAACAATCGCTATAAACTTTTGTGGTGTGGGAGGGAGGGATGAGGAGATCACTGATCACTGAGGTTATGAATGTGGAAATCTTAAGTATCACAGTTAGTCATTGTTTAACCTTGGTTCAAACTGCAGCTTCAATTGGATGTCAGAGTTTAAACTGTTTTGTCTTCACCTGAGCTTCAGGGTGCGTGGTGGAGGGAGAAGCGAGAGGAAGAAAATGCAACGGAGTTGAATTTTACAAAGTGGGGGTGGGGGTCTTGTGCCACCTTTCGGCATCTCATCTACGCTATTGCATTGTCCCCTTTCCAGTCGCCTTGTGTAACTCAGTGGTGGTTGGGTGGGGCCTGGTTTGTAGGAGCATCTTAATGGCAATACTTCATTAATTGGTGTGTCAGAGTTCTAGGCTCTCCTTTTCTTTCCCCCACCACCTCCACCCGCCATAGAAAAACGGTCCTGGACTCCACTCTACTAAACCTTCTGGCTTGCTGTCCCACTGTATTGTATTTTCCCCTTGAAGGAGCGTAGCATGAATTGCCTCTAGACTGCATCAGTATGCCACAGGTCAGACTGTATTAATTATAGGTTCTTTACCCTAAAGGAAAGTACAGTCAAACCTCACTATAACGACCCCCCTCAAGACAGAGAGAAAAGATCATTATATCAGGATGTTCACTATAACAGGGTTCGGCTGCCAATGAGGTGCAAAAAAACGGGTCCTGCCGTTGGTTTGTTATAGAGAGGTTAGACTGTAAGACTAGCTGCACTTCTTTCGTCGAGAAGGAGCTAGAGTTTTTTTTTTGTTTTTGTTTTTTTAACTCTTATTGTTCAGGACGAGGTATGCAGTTGCAAAGAGAGAGGAGAGGGTGTGTGTGAGGTGAGCAGCACATGGATGAGGATGCCAGTTAATTTTTTTATGTATATTACCAGTTTACCTGTACAAACGTTCTTGTACAAACAAAAAAAACCTACACGCAGCTTCATTTAAAAACAAACCTCCTTAAAATAAGGAAAATCTTTTTAAAGAAAGCGGTTAATTTTTGTATTTTTGATTTTACAAAAGGCATGAGTTATGTCTACTTTTTTCAGTGTGTATTAATGAAGATTTTAACTTTTCATCAGGTTGAGTGTTTTTTCTTACTATTATCTATTGTGTATGTAGTTAGCACATTGTGACACTGAAATGTTTAAAAATCTAGCATGTAGAAAAATAAGCCTGTTTTTTGTGGGGGCAAAAAAACACCCTTTTATCCTTCATTAAAAAAAAAATATTTTAATCATGGCAGGTTTTCTGCAGAAAATAATTTGAAAAGCGTTTGCATTTCAGAGAAATACTGATTTTGTATTTAAAGAAAGGTATTTTGCTTGCAGGAATCTATTTACTACAGATTTACTTTAATGATAATCTTTGAGATGTATTTAAATACCTTAGGGCACCTAGGCATCTTTCTTTATGCTGTTTGTCATTTGTCTATTGAAATAAAAATGTACAGAACATTACTTTTACAAATGTCCGCACATACTGACATTTCCCAGGCTGTCTGCTTCTTGAAGGGTGTGCGCGTGGTATGTCTGTTTATTTGATGGGTGGCTTTGTGGGTGACACCTGAAACGTTTCAGCCGTTAGAACCCTTTTTGGCTCCAAGGAGCCTAATTTGGTTGCTTCAGCCTTGCACTGAGACCGAAAGCTCACTCACCATGGTGCCTTTTCCTCTGTCGAGGGAGAAAATAAATGTAGTGGAAAGATATCTTGAGCAGTGAACGAGCCTCCTGGATTGATTTGCTACCAGTCTGGAATCACAGAAGAATTTACTGAACTAACGTCAAGCCAAACGGCAGAATCCACCCCACTTTAGCACTGTTTGCCGGCTTTCCCATGTGCTATTTACCGTCACTCAGTGGTGGCTGATAGTTGGGGAATACATGGGATCTAATTTGCGCTATTTCTCAGTGGGTTTCTCAACAAGAAATGTATAGTGAAATGTGCTGAAGACATGCATTTAGAAATTCAAACGGCAGCACAATTCCGATTAAGTAATAATAATAATAATCCCTCTATTTGATATAGTGCCTTATCACGTCTTTGAGGCGTCTCAAAGCGCTTCACAGAATCTACGATAAAGTGGATTGAATGCACGCTTTGTGGGCGAAAAGGTGCAATTTGGACCTTGTTAACAAACAATCCTGACACCTTTCCCTTCAAGGTTAAAGTCACTGAGTCAGTCAACAGAAACAGCGCGGTTCATGCTCTCGCAGATGGGAAGGTGGGAAGTTCTCAAATGTGCTGTTGACTCCCAACAATGCAGACTGAGTGGAGACATTTGAATTATGTGACATGTCTCAAATACTCCCTCATCTGCCCGTTTGTGCTGCTGTCACATGTCTGATATGATAAATCATTGTTTAATATTTTAAGACGGCCCCCACCTACTCTGCCCTGCCACCCGACACCATTCCTCCGTACAACTAAACAAATGAACTCCAGGGACAACCGGGGCTCTAATAAATAATTTTGTGCATCAAGATATTTTTTTCCCCCGCAATTCGCAGCTACTACAAATAAGCAGCTCTGGAGCGCAACAGAGTGAGACGTGTTACAAAGAGAGTGATTCATCACCCACAAGGTGTCCAAGGCCACAGAAAAAAGGGAGATAGTGAGTGTGTTATAATGGGAGGCTCTTCCGCTGCATGCACAGAGTGACTAACCGGCGATCTGCCATGTAACACCTTTTAGGTCTTTGCATATTTATGGCCTATGGCGAAATGGAATTCGTACGGGGTATCGGTCCAGAGCATTTGACAGTGACCGAGCCCGATGCCGGGCTAGCTGGAGGTAACCGTAGGCACGGTCGAAGAGGAAGGTCTTCAGGTGTGACCTGAAGATGGAGAAGACACTTTAGAGCTATATACACACGCATTTATATCTGTGGATATACACATCTAAATATAAGCTATATATATCCATATACACAAATATAAATACATATATTTGTGTTTATATACTTAGGATCACATCAATGTTTATACATAGACATGTAGGTGTCTATGCATGTATCTGTACAAAGGTGTATGTGTACATATCAATAGGCATGTACATACCTAGATAAGCATATCCATGACAGATTTCAAACAAGGTTGAAAGTGAGCTGCACAGGGACAGGTGTAACTGCCTCAGGTGTGAAGCGTTCAGGTTATTGCACTTTAATCATCTGTCAACTAACATAAGCCGGTTACTGGAGCCTTCCCTCACTGTGTACTCCCGTCAAACCACTACCACCCGAGTCCTGAACACAAGGCGAGATTGTCAGCCAGGTAGCGCTTTGACACCTTTTATACAAGGCCACTCTCCCAGGTCGAGCTCTGTTACTTTTTTAAATGGGATATTTGGTAACCATTAGCCCTGGAGTAGCGAGAGACGCGAGTGTGTGAGAGAGACACGCACACAACTCGAGCCGATCTATTATTGAGACCTTGAGTTTGTATCAGCCTGGCCCATTCAATGCATGTTTACAGCTCGCCTGGGATTTAATTAGCGGAGGTTAGAGTTACAGCGTGTCTAAAATTACTCAATGTAAGGCCATTGATTCTTTCCAACTTCCACTTTACGTAAAGAGCGAACAAGTCGGGAGGTGTTGCATTAAGGAAGTTGTGAGGTGAATCCTGGATGATGCGTTTGAACAAAATAGTTTGATTGCAGAACTGGGTTTAAGATCCGGGAGACGGAGCAGGTGAGTGAGTTATTTTGTTAATTAGTTAATTAGTTGGTGAGTTTGCTTGTCATTAAGCTCCCGCGGTGACAGCAATCATTTTAAAGCAATCAGCTTTAATCAGAATAATCCTCAGCCCTAACGGAAAACTATGCTCAAAACTATGACGTTTGTTTCTGATTATTATTCATGATAAGGCTGGGGGAGCCCAGGGTGTGCGTTGGGGGTAATTGGAGTCTAACCATAGAGTCGCGTAGCGTAATGGTTAGCGCTCTTGCCTCGCAAGCGAGAGGACCCGGGTTCGATTCCCGGACTCGGTGAAACATTCAGCAATATTCCTTACTCCACACACCACTTTATCTCGCGGTAAGTAGGGACGCAGATGTTAGTCAATTGATGATTCTCCAGGTGGGGGGTAATAATCCCTCCCCCCCCCAAAACACTAAGAATTTGGACACTCAATCCACGACTGTTTTGTGGGACAATACCGTATGCAATTAGCTGCCTTGTTCCTCAGTCAATCCACTTTACAATATATTCTGTGAAGCGCTCGGAGACGCCTGAACAACGTGATCAGGCGCTATATCAGATGCAAGGATTATTATTACTAACCACGTCTCATCTTCCCTTCCACAATGATGCAGGGAGCAGGGTAACCCAGATACAACTTGAGAGACAGAGACACCAGCACTGTTAACATGGTGAACGTCCAAGTCTTGGTTTTGTTCCTGACGTGTTTCACGGTAACAGGTAAAGCTCGCTCTGCTCTGGGGTCGAGTTTTAAGATAAACGGAGGCGCCATTGGGGTGGGGGGTGGAGAGGCGAGAGGGTGTGCTCGAAATTTTAGGGGATTTCAAAGTAAGTTGTTGCGACACGGTTTTACAATAAAATACAATTTTAAGAAAAGGACACATTGAGACGTCTCAATGACGCGATTACAGTAAAACCCTCGTAGGTATGTCTGATCTGTACAAATCGTATCATCGCCTCAATCGTACACCTGTTGAATTTCCTACAGTTTATGCAAGTTTGATATAACTTAAACTTTGCACAAATCATACTAAATGTACGGTCCCGACTGATACGACTTATGTGAGATTTAAGAACAACAACTTGCGTTCTATAAGCACCATTTACTATATAATATGGAATGCTCACTGGTTTCACAGTCTCCTCCTCCTTATGCCCTTAGTGTTCTGCGGAGACAGCTCGGGGGAATCACACCTTCTGAGAGATGTCTCTCAGCCAAGGCTGAAGAGGTCTCTGTACACGATACTGAGGAAACACGGTGGTTCCCGCACGGCAGCCGAGGTCTCGAACCGGGCGTCCAAAGAATATCCCAGGCCGAACCCTCCTGATCCCAGCGGCAGAGCCGCAGCTGCGAACGGAAAGACATCGCTGCCAGACGCCTTGTCTGACGTTCTCCAGCCCAGTGAGTGGGATTTGTTCCCTCCGATGCTGAGAGCGCTGTACAACATCTCCGCGGGAGTAGGGTGGTCAGAGCTGCAGAGTTGGTCGAAGTTGCCTGGGATCCTGGGGTGTGAGGGGCGGTCGCTGGGAGAACCCTGTCCCCCGCTCCGCGCCCTGGCAGAGGGGCTGTTGCCCTCGATGGGAACCGGCTGGAGGCTTTTACTGAGGTCCGTGCGGGAGGAAGCCTGCAGCGTGATGCGGGGCATAGAAACTACGTCCATTGGAGACCTCCTGCAAGCGTTTCTGACGTCAACAACCGTGACCACCAGATCAGCCGGTGATCCCCCGACCCTCACTGGGACCCTGATTGGTTTCCTCGCTGAGTTGCCGCAGGTTTTTCCTCCGGGTTTAGCTGCCGCCTGGAGTTCCTTTGGCCGGAACATGTTCCCATTGTTGGAAAACCACTTCACTCAGGTGACCAGGCAGATCCTACTGACAGCCACGGATTTCATGGTGAAGGAGATGTTGTTGTCCACCAGAACTCTCGGGTTAGACGAAGAAGAGCGATGTCCCCAAGGTGATTGCTTCCTTCTCGGCTCTGTAGCCCCCACCACCAATCACACCAGTCCTCGTTTAGGTGTATGTTAAAGATCCCGCGGCACTATTCGAAAAGAGAAAACAGTTTCTCTTTCCTCGTGTCCTGGCCGACAAACCCCCAAATAACATTGGTCATTCACTCCACGTCTGTGTGTATGTGTGGGACGCTGCTGTGCATAATTGTCTGCTGCGTTTCGCCCACAAAATATACACTTTACAGTAAATCCTGTGAAACGCTTTGAGACATCTCATTGACGTGATAAGGCGCTATATCAAATGTCTTTCCAGTCTCCACTTGAAGCCTTCATTAATGTTGCCAGGGTCAGAAGAGATTGTGTATTAGCAATCCCCCCCCGCCACACCCCGTTTCTGTTATATCTCCTCCTTCCCTGTAATAATTCTGCAGCGTGTGTTTGTAACTCTTCCCAACTCCTCTTACAGGGAACTTGAAAGACCTTCTAGTCTGGTGAGTGACCGAGCAGTGGGTTTTGGTGCTTGTCTGATCTATAGACTACAACTGTTTGTCCAATTGGTTTGATGTCTTATGGTTTGTTCAATATAAAAATTAAACATGGATTCCCTTCCTCGCCCCCTCCCTGCATGTGGCTGCCAGGATGGTGGAAGGCAAACTGGATGGACCTTGGTGTTGTTGTTTTTTTGTCCACCGTTGCCTCTGTTCCCATATTCCTGCTCTGTAGGTGGGTTCATGGAATTCTCAGTTTGGTTTGGATACTCTTATGCATGGTGATGGGTTTCCGTGTGTGTCAGACACCCGGCTGGCCAAAA